AAAAAAGCGAGATATTCAAAATCTAGCAACCATGTCACCATTTTTAATAACAAAATAACTAAAACAAATTTTCACTCCAAACTCCCGAGAATTACATAATAACATTAATATCTTATGAAATACGGCAGATTTGAATTATTTGATTATCTAATTTATTTCTTTTATTGAAAACAAAATTATCCGTTTGAAAACATCGCCTATCAGAATAAAATGTAGTAAGCAGCTGCAAACTTTTTAACCGGAACTAGAGTAGGTGCCAAGCTCGAGATTGTTATTGTTTACATTCCTATTGAAAACACCATCCATTAGCTTTCTTTTAAAAAAGATGCATGATTGTTGTTTTGCAAATAATTTTTTTTTAGATTATTTTCTTTTCGAATAATAATAATTTTACTTTTATTTACTTTATAATTGAAAAAACTGTTGTTTTTTAAGTTAATAGCATGAATGTTAAATGAAATATTATAAATACTGAGAATATAGCATCATAGGATATGGAGAGTAAAAAATTTTTAAAAAAAATGGAAAATAGATTGTGGACAATACGGATAATAATATAATATGAACAATAATTTATGGATTCGTCAAATGGAACTTAATTACCAATTATGAAGAAATATGCTATTTTGTGACCAAAAATCATACAATCAAAACAGCTTACCATTCGTTAACATATCGATTGCTGGTCGAGGTGGCATCACATTATTTATTTTATTGATGGTCTGATTCAGATTTTAGCTGTCGCAGATCATCGTTAGTTTTGAGACAGGGTTGTGATTTTTTTCAATTAAAGATATATTTCTGTTAATTTTAAATTGTTCACAACAACTTTGAAGGTTAAAGATTTTTTTATCTTTTATAATTGGACACTTTGTTGCTTCTATGTTGTCTCCAGATCAGATTCATTTAAATTCTACGCTTTTAGTTAAAAATAAATCACATTTCAAATTAAAATTAATTACTTAAAATTAAATTACTTTTCAGGTTCTACTCATTCAGTGTTTGCTCCACATGGGTTCATAACTCTTCAACAGAATTCTTTTTAGGGTATGTGTATGTGTAGAAATATTTTTTTTTTTTAGTCTAACTATAGGGGTGCACAACCTGCTGCCCGCGGGAGATTCTGAAGGTAATAAATTTTTTTCTTCCCTTCATTTGCTTAAACATTATGAATTTTCTTTAATCAAAATATTTAATTCAAATTTATATTATTCTATAAAATGAATATATTTTTTGCGCTTTCATTCTTTAAGCTTCCTTTTGGTTAGAATTCATATCCCCCTCCCTCCAATATATGCACTTAAAAAAAAACTTATTATTAAGTAAAATAATACTTAATTTACCTAACAATATAATTTGTAAAATAATTTTCCGCTCTTTTTCAATAGAACGTGCCACCTAATGTGTCTATTGGGCATAGAATGTTAATGGAGGGGGCATTTATATGTACATTGTAAGAGCAACCCATTGCAACGTTATTATAAGCACATAGAAAAGGAAAAATTAATTTTAAGCAAAACAAATTATTTATGTTTACGAAATTGTAAAATAAACAAATAAAAATGTTTACCCTTTTAAATTTTATTTTTATATAATGACCGCGTCACGGGTTCAAACCCGCGGGACTAGCAATCTGACCCTACAGGCCACACCTGTGTTTCCAATTTATAACTAACTTTCAAAGTACTTTCTCACGATTGATGCAATGAAACCATATCCGGCCACATGGAGGGGGCTTTAATTTCTCTATAATTATTTCCTTTGGTAAGTAAAATACCTGAACGAGTTTGAATATTAAAGGCTAATATTGAGGGGAGATACGTGCACTCTTCATTTTAACGCTAACATATAATGTATGTAACAAAAAATGTATGCAAATTGTGGGTCCCTTAATTAGTTCATGATTATTTCCTTTGTTATTGTAGCATAGTATATTATAATATACTACATGACTAGGGGTCCGTTAACGGACCCTTCACAAAATATCTTTTCATAAAAACGGACCCTTCACAAAATAATTTATCTTTCTTTTAATCGGACCCTTCACAGATTTGTTGATCACCATTATTGTTTTGTTAATCGAATAAACTCTTCCCTGTGGGGGTGGGGAGAACTAATTTTCCCTAAGTTTGAATTCCATATGTAGTATTCTAAGAAAATATGTCTACTTTTACAAACATCGTGTGCGCATTCTTATTAATATTAAATAATTTTTTTTTGTAAATAAATAATTGATCAATTTATATTTATTTAAAAAATTAATTAATAGAATATCATGCATTACAATTTTTTAAATAAAATATTATAAATTTAAGAATTGTTTAAGTTTACTTAATGCGTACCACATTAAAAGTGATACAAGTGTTACTTAAAATATGTCAATTGAAATGATTAAAAATGTGAGTGATTTTGCTTCCATTATTCGTCCGAAATGAATATTCTGTATTCAGCGGTATAGGAGGCTAAATACCAAAATATTTGTATGTTGCATCTCTTATTTAGTAGCAGCAATTGTTGAGCAGAATCTTGTATCTATTTACAATTTAAAAATTTCTTGAAAAGGTTTTTAGCTATTTTACAATAGCAGGACCCTGTTTGAAAGAATGTGACTTAACGCGTATTTTATATTCACAATTTATGAAAAGTTTTTTCACAATTTTACAAAAACAGGACCTTTCACTAAATGTCTGGACAGACTCCTGATGAAAGAGTTTTTCTATTTATTTTTTATAACCGTCGTTGAACAACCGACCCAATTTTATGGGACTGCTAATGTTCAACTCCGTAGCCCTGTAATTTTGAACCCAATCCAGAAGACAAGGGAACTCCTGGATCGAGTATTGAGAGAAACTTGCCTTCGTGGAGGACTTTTTGATGGAGCTAACCCGCATTTTCGTTACATGGGGAGGAAAGCTACGAGGATCTCCTACGGTTAGACTGACGGCAAGGGGACTCTAACCCATGATCCGTCTACCACTGAGGATATTTCACGTCATTACTGTGGTCGGTGCAAGCCGGATGCGGAATTCGTATCGACTAGGATTCGAACCCGGATCGCCTCATTGGAAGGCAAACGCTCTGTCCCCTGAGCCATTGATGATGGCAGAGTTTTTATTTTATTTGGCCGTTGAACAACCGACCCAATTAGATGACAGAGTTTAAAAATTATAAGTTAATATTAAAGGGAGTTATATATATAAGCAGTGGCGTAGTTTTAATGCGTGTTTGGAGGGGGTTTATCGCACGCCTCCACACGGCTTCTTATAGATAGACCGATCAGACAACCATGAAGTAAAACCAGTTCATGAAGGAGCCACTTAAAAAAAAAAAAAAAATGGCAGCAAATGTTTAAAAAAAATTTTAAATTTATGAATATGATTGTTTTGGCTTATTTACTTGTCATCCAACCACAAATTTATATGGTAAATTTCTCTTAATTACTTTTAAAATAGAATACGTCCACAACTGGTTCACTTTTTAAATAGACTCTACACTGACTACTTATGAAAAACCATGTGGAGGCTTCTGATGTAGGAAGCGATGGTTTCCTTCAGATATATATATATACAGGGTGTCTCAGTTAAGTGTTTCAGAACTTCTAAGAGGGGTAGGGGGCATCTTGACGACTCGAAATCATATAGCAATGTGGCGTCGGAAATGCTTTCCTGAAGCAGTGACGTACACAGAAACACCATAAAGAAAGGAGACCGTAAGTGAAAAATCGCTATAATAATACATTGAAAAAATTATATGGTACATGGGCCAAAGTAAGTGTTCGAAGTTTCTGCCACCGGCTACAATGTACACCTCACATCTCCGGTGCGTGGACATTCGAACATTCTGCAATACTCCAGGCATATCTCGCAGGCAGCTACTGCGATTCTTGCAACCAGCATTATCAACAGGGGTGTCATAAACCAGTGTTTTCATATGACTCCAGAAATCAAGACATGATAGGTCGGGTGACCGAGGAGGCAATATAATTTTTTCAATGTATTATCATAGCGATTTTTCACTTACGGTCTCTTTTCCTTATGGTGCTTCTGTGTACGTCACCGCTTCAGGAAAGCATTTCCGACCCCACATTGCTATATGATTTCGAGTCGTCCGGATGCCCCCTTCCCCTCTTAGAAGTTCTAAAACGCTTAACTGAGACACCCTGTATATATATATATATATAACGTCGTTGCCGAGTGGAAGGATTAAAACAGGTTTAATGCAGGGAAGGAGGACACAATATTTATTTATTAATTATTAGACAGAGATCAGCTACAAAAGTGGTCACGAAAATTTGTGCTCCTAGATTATATGTTAGGGAAAATCTTGCAAAGTAAATCCGTAAAATGTTTCAATTTAGGGAAATCTTAGTAATTGTAATTGGTTTATCATATAGGAGGTCGAGCGATTCCCACAGAGAGCAAAGGGAAAAATATCTTGCCCTTAATGAATGTATAGTTGAGCTAAAAATAGATTTAAGGACAGGATGTGAATTTAAAAGTGTGAGAAAGTGTTTCGTTTTGAATAATAAAAGAAAAGGATATTCAGAAAAGAACTAACTTAAAAAGATTAGTTGAAGCTCTTTATGCTACATATATATATATAAATTTTATTTTATCCAAATGTACAACTATAAACTGCAAAAAATCAGTAGTGAAAATAATTTTAAAACTACATCCTATTTCCGTACAATAGCTCAATAATCAAATAATGTATACATTTTGGAGGGGGTTTTATTCCCCAAACTACGCCACTGTATATAAGTAACAATTTCTTAATTTTAACACCTTTATTGGTGTGATTTGGCCAAAATGTGATAATTTTAAAAAAAAGTTGTACTTGTATTTTCTAAATGAAAGGTTTATGCGTGTAAGCATAAAGCAGGACAGCCTTTTTACTGCATCTTTTCTCTAATGTTTCCTCTTCTCTTGTTTAGCTAAAATAATTTCCAAAGTTTAAATCTATTGGTTACTTATCAAAACTATTATAAATAAATGGATACATTTTGTTTAAATCATTTTATTTGTACACAAAATATATCACAATAAATAAATAAATATTGAAATGATGACATGACTGAGATCAGATTCTTCACTTCAACCATCTATAGAAGAGAAATATCATAAAATTAGATTCATTTATCTTTAGAAAATATAGCATTATTTTCCCTAATGTAAGTGCAATAGGGAGTTTTTATTTCAAAAGTTCATTCAGTCGAAATGTTTATTTTTATAATGTATGCATATCTTATAAAAATACCGCTTGATTCTTAAAAAAAATTCCATAAAATAAAACGCACTGATACATTTCCCCCCATATGTTTTTTAAATGTTAATAAAGTATTTCCCCCAGTAGTTAATTTGCAAAAAAAAAAAAGGCATTCATTATTAATTTTAAAAAAAAGCATTCATTAATAATTTTCAATATAAAAAGGTTATCTGCAGTCTCTGCTTACTGTATTGTTTACTCTTCATCAAAAACCTATTGCAACACTTCTTAAGGATCCCCGTTACCAATTTTTTTGGAAGAAAAAAAAAATGCAAAAAATCAACCTATTTTTTTATTTCATTAATAATTGCAAGAAACTAAAACAAAACATAATACACAAGTTCTAAGTTGAAATGTCTTTTTTATGCGTAAAAAAATATTTAATTTACCATCGGTTTACTATCCCAAATGATCTCGGGAAAATGAAGTTAAATATGAGTCTTTGTTCACATCTTCATCATCTGAAAAATCATCTGCATTACTATCACTTGTGAACGCCATTTTTTTCTATGTAAATTCATCAGCCATCGTATATACAACTGTACAAAACATGTTTGCAGTTCCACACATAGCGAAACTCCCAAACAAAAATGGGGAAACTTCCAATCACAGCAGATTATTATGATTTTTCACTTTGCTTACGGCCGACTAAAAATGTGATAAAACAAAACGTATTGACGAATTCTGCTATGCCTGAGTTTACTCGGTATAATAAATAATTGCAATAGATACATACCTGAGTTAACTCGGGATAATAAATAATTGCAATAGATACATACCCGAGTTAACTCGGTATAATAAATAATTGCAATAGATACATACCCGAGTTAACTCGGGAGAATAAATAATTGCAATAGATACATACCCGAGTTAACTCGGGATAATAAATAATTGCAATAGATACATAACTCGGGATAATCAGGGAAGCGGTTAAGTTTACACATGTTGAAAATGCCTTTGCTGCGGATTCTTTTGCTGTAATTTATTTTTTGATTCTTAAAAAAAAAAAAAAAGTAGGATTTTTGTTAAAATAATTTTTTTTTCCTCGACAGATTTAGAATAGGTAGTATAAAGTGATGCTACTATTTCACTTCTGCAACAAAGCAAGTGTTTACCAAATTTTTATAAGATATTTTCTTCTACATGAGAATTAAATTTTTCAGTAAAAAAAAATATTAAAGTAAGCATCAATTCAATGCTAAAACTTAAAGTTAGTTTGCTGCAACTAACATTTTAAACAATTTATTTCACCTTTTCCTGCTTTCAGAGTTCTTGAAAAATACTTCTGTTTTCACATATTTTACGTCCATAATTTTTTTTTTTTTAAAGAAACATTCAAATTTAAACGTAATTTTTAGAAGCAGCAGAATGTACAGTTTAAAAACTTTTATAGTACTCTCTCAATTCAACGTAACTGTTGAATTATGCTCTATTATTAAAAGCTTGTATAAAGCAAAAAAGTGAAGAAAAAAATCAGAGGCAAGAAAAGCAATGAAAAAGGGTTCTTTCACAGAGGTTAACGCTTTTTGTAAAAATGTTTTCTTTTTACTCAGAAAAAAAAATGTTTTTTTTTATTTTTTATGGAGAAAGATAGCAGTAGCAGAAATTTCATAGTAGCATAACTACTGTAAATTATTTTTAGGCAAATTTGATAGAAAATATTATTTTTCTTATTTATTTGATTCTTTTAATTCCGCTTTGAAGGTGCCCTTGTTTCTACCATCTTTGCTATTTTACCCAAGATGCTTGCCCCAATCGCTTAGTCAGGAGACTTTAATGTAAATACTCTTCTCTTTTTTTGTAGTCATTATTCTTCGCATTAGTCTATTTAAAAATAATTGTTAATAGTTTTTGAAAAATAAGGTATACAATTTTAAATGACAAAATACAAAAGTTGAATGAAATGGGTCGAATAATTCTTGAGAGAAAAAAATGATAGCTTTTGTGAAATTTTATGATTTAGAATCTACGCAACTGATTTCGCTCAAAGTTTGTAATATTTTGACATTTAAAATGGTGTAAAAATAACATGGAATTCAATAATTATTATTTTTTTTTGATGTTTAAAATAACAAAAAAATATCTTTTCGAGTCTTGGGTTTAACTCATTGTATAATTGTGTGAAATTCGCTTTAAAACTTTCCCAGACACAAAAATGAAGTTAACATTAATTTTGACATCTCTCCAACCAAAACTGATGGTGGCTACATTTTGATGACCCTAATAAGTATGTTTATGCAGCTTGATTAATCTAACTATAATTTTATATTCTATAACAGTCGGCAAACAGCCACCCCAATTTTTGGCCAATGACGTAGCCTTGTCATTTTGAACCTAATCCAGAAGACACTGAATCAAGTAGTAGGAGAAATTTTGCCTTTGTGGAGAACTTTTTGATGGAAGTAACCCGCATTTGCGTTGCATGGAGAGGAAGACCACGAGAACCTCCCACGGTCAGCCTCAACTCATGATCCGTCTACCACTGAGGATATTTCACGTCATCACTGTGGTCGGTGCAAGCCGGATACGGAATTCATATCGATCAGCCGTCGGTGGGATTTGAACCCGGTTAACCTCATTGGAAGGTGAACACCCCTGGGCCATCACGACTCTAATCTAACTCATTAGCATATATGAGGTGAAAATCCAATCTTTAGAACAAAAGTTATTTCTCTTCAAAATATGTGATACATCAAAAGGGAGATATAAATGATACCTTCTTGTGAAGAGGAGACAGGAATGTAGAAGGCAATCAATCTTTTCATAAATTTACTTCTAAAAAGCTGATTAGTGAACTGATTATCTGCTTCCCATTCAAGAGTTTCGCAGGGTGGAGGAATACCTATTCAAAATAAAACAGTTCTTGCATCACTGAGTAGATAGTTTTAATTACAATTAGATAGAATAATTACATTTGAGATAGTTTTAATTACAATTAGTAAATGCAGTCTGAAATTATTAGAGAATTCAAATTAGCATACTTTTAATTAACAAAAAAACTGCTACATATTTTGATCTAATTGTTATTTTCAGGCATGGAACAATCTAAATTAGAGGCAAACTCTTTAATCCATTAAAAAAAAAGGATTTTGATTTAAATCAAATTTACTGGCCAATCCAAAATATTTGATTGCCAATGGCGAAAGGAAATTTTGTGCCTTGTACTTACCATGTTTTTAAAATAACTACAGCCCTTCGAGTTCTGAAAAAGTGTCACATCCCGATAATGAATATGAACCCACAACAGAAAGAGTATCACCCGAAGATTTTTGTTAAAAAAAAAGGCACATATTTGGGTGGAGAATGCATGCAAGTGCAAACTTTATTTTACATAATATATTTAAGCTCTCAACCACAGTAAGAAAATTTTAGTTTTCCTGAATTTTCGCAGAATTTATTTTTTTTTTCTTTACTTACAACAAACTTTTTCATGGTTGATAAACAACTACTTAAAAGCTTGGGATTTTGAATTTAAATTTATCACTAAACCAAAAATAAATTGTGAAAGTAGAATATATGCAACCTATACTCAAAGGTATATTAAGGGCACCCTTCATAAAATATTATATATATTTTTTAATGAAAGATGTATTTTATTTAATTTAATTAAAATAGATTTTCAAAAATACTATAACAAATGAACCAATAATATTGCATTTATCACAATGATTAGAAATATAAAGCAACAGATACACATATTTCAGACAAAATAAAACAACTAATTTAATTAAGCATAATTAAATGTTAAAATTTCACAAACATGATAAAAATGTTGCTTTGAGTTGAATAAGTAGCTTTCATTAAAAATTAAACTTATATTTGAATAATAGTAATTTTCAACTCAACCTTTTGCATACGGCTGGTACAACATATCTACCACATGTGATGGTACAACATGGTATACCGTAAGCAAAGGGTTAAAGGATAACAGTAAGAATTTAGAAAGCGTCTGATTATTGAACTAATTAATAAAATACAATTCCCAAAGTAATATAAATTAACCGATCAGCTCAATATAAATAATTACAATAAATTGTGACCATTTCTAAGAAAATTATAATTCAATAAAACAAAGCTTTATGTCATAATTTTTTAAAACAATAAAGCGCTTATTGTTATATTTTTTTAATTGTATTGTTGGCATAGAACTATTCAGAAACTGGTAATTAAAAATTTGAAAACTGTTCTTAAAAATGCATCTTTTTTAGTTATTTTCTTTTTCATTTCATGTGCCTAAGTTAAAAAAACTCATTATAGTTCAGTTAGTAAAATGATACCAATAAGAAGATAATTATTCTGAATAACTTCTTATCTAATGATCAATTTGTCAACTAATGACTAATTTTAAAATTGCATTATTAAATTTTTTTTTCTCTTTTTCTTCATTTCAATCTCGTAATTTACAGTAAATAACATAATAAAGACTGACTTTTGTTGAATTGCGTAGAATTTAAAAATTAAATGACACTTATTGGCTGAGGTTTATTTCCAAATAAAGCATACATTTAAAAATAAAACTGCAACTAACTTAGACAATACAATATTTTTGTCATTAATAAAAATGTCAGATGTTTTAAATTTTTTCAACTAATTTAATGAAGCTCACAAATAAATTTGTTCAGAATATTTTAACACCTAAGAATATTGGGGGACTTATTTTAAGGTTATATTTTCCTAGTTGGAGAATCAATAAGTAAAACTGACGATTTTCATAAAAACAATTTCTATAAAAAAATGCTTCTAAAAGAATACTTTGCAAAATTATAGATAATTGTTTATAAACATTTTAATAATTTTCTGCAATTACAATATATTAAATTGGAAATAGGCTATTTCAAGACTAATTACCTCAGTCAATTATGATATATATATATTTTTTTACATTTTATAAAGAAAAGTTTAAGGTATTTGGAGTAGTTAAAGGACAAAATAATAGTAGGGTAAGTTTACAGAAGAAAAAAATGATTTAAAGGAAATTTTATATGCTCTAAGGATTAAATTGGATTAATTATGTAGGCTTGGAAATTAATTCACACGAGTCTTTGAGAGATGTTTTGCTTTTCTATTATTCGTAATTTCTATTTCATATTTTAATTAATGGAAAGAAAACTTTTTCTTACAACACTTAATATCATCTCTTAGCATTCCATGTAATAAACATAAAACTACTAATTATAATATTTTCTCAAAAAAGTTTGAAACTTGTTTCCCAATAATGAAAATTTTAATACTTGTTTTTATTTACGCTATTCATTTCAATAACAATACAATGGAAAATATTTAACGACACAATGTTAAGTCTTCGATACAACAATGGCCTCATTTAATTTGTCATAAATACAATACATTTTTTAAAATCAAACTAATAAATAAAATCACACTAACATGATCTACAAATATCCACAGAAATTTTTTTTTTTTTTTGGGGNTTTTTTTTTTTTTTGGGGGGGGGGGGGGGCAAAGGGCCAAATTAAAAATACTTAATAATTTAAAAACCAATTTTTTTTTCGAACTTAAAAAAGTATATAGTTTAATACTTCATCAGGGTGCGTAGCCAGATTTTTGAAGAAAAAAAAAGTAAAACACTCAAAAATATTTTTAATCACTTTCCAAAAATAAAAAAAATCATAATTAAGATCTATGCGGCAATAATTTTTTTTTTCTATCGCTTTAAGTTCTTTATTTTATAATCATAAATTCAATAAAATTCAAAAACATTTTCAAAAACTTTACATAATCATGTTAAAAATAACTAGTTTCTGACAAATATTGCAGAGAAAATTGTGAAAATCATGCATTTTTTATTTAGGACGACAATCAACAAGACAAAGAAAAAATCTCTTTTTAAAAGATAGAAAATTAAGCACTTTTTACAAACCCAGAATAAAAAAAGCACCTCTAAGGGCTTTTAAAAAACGTTAAAAAAATAAGCACCATTAAGCACTTTTTAAAAACGCTAAGCACCCCGTTTATTCAATACAATGAATTTGAGAGTCCTTAGCATGAAGTTTAAATTTTTAAGAAACTTTTAAAAAAAATAAATAAAAAATCGTAAGTAAAATTTTTTTGTATTAATCTTTGGCAAAACTAATTAAAAATGTCATAAAATAAATAATCACAAACTATAATTTATTAGATTTAGAGAGAGGTAGAATAAATTATTAGAGAGAGGCAGAAATGTTTTCTCTTTACTGCAGTAAACAATTAATCTTTGTTTTATTTAATTGACAATTGAGAGATCTCCTTCTGTGAAGGGTTTACAATAGATTCAATTGAAATCAAACAAGACGTTTAAGGCTCTTTTGTAATAGGAGCTTTAGGATGCGACAGGTGAACAAAATATTTAGATTTTTAAAACATATGGTAAAAAGCAGCTTCCTCGATTGTCATTAATCTACATTAGATGTCATATTTAGAGTGATTGCAAAATTAGATATTTGAGCGCATCAATTAACAGAGATTGGGGGCATTATTGAAATAGAAACAAAGAATAACTGAATATAAAATCTTTATATAATTATCCCCTTTTAAACGACTATTTGTAACACTTTTTCGAAATTATTTTTATCAGTCACTTCTAATTTCATTAAGATTATTATTAACAACACAAATAATAAGGACTTCTATAGTAAACATTGTTAGTGCCTCCTCTACTTAACAGAATTCTTTATTGAAGAATTCCACCAAATGATGAAAATGATTCTCTTTTTGACCCTCTATGAAAGGGCAAACCTTCATACTATAGATCAGTATTTCCCAAAGTTCATACCCCCAGCGTTCTTATGCCAAATATCTTGCAACAAATGAAAATTTTAAAATTTTTTAATTAAAATCAAAGTTAGCCATGAAAATTTACGATTATGTTTTTTATTTTTTGCAGAGCCAGTTTTGAGCTATTTTTTGTCAACAGCCAGTTCTGACTTTTAACTTTTGGGAAATTTCTTTTACAGTAAAGGTTCATAATAAATTCTACTTATTTTGATTATTTTTATAAAATATAATTTTTATCCATATAACTGTTATCACAGCAAAAAAACAATATCATCCTTCTCACTGATGCAAATAAACTTATGAACAAAATTTTGTACCAAAAAGAAAAATAAACATATTTTTAAAAAAATACTTTCATTTTTTTATGAGTGGTACACAGCATTACGAAAAATTTAGAAAGGGTACACAAAAGTCATAAGTTTGGGAAACACTGCTATAGATTATTTAGAGTTATTTCATAAAAAACTCACTTTTTAAAGCAAACTAATTTTAATGAGATAAAAGTAAACAAAAGCATAATTTTTCTATTTATTTAAAATTATTAATCATTTTTATGGAAGCTAAATCGTATTCATCGATTGGTGACACCAATATTTTGAAGTGAGTGGAAGTACTGTGGAGAGGTACAACAGTTCTTTTTTACTCTTTACTTTACAGGGTATCTGCTACATTTTCACATTCATGACTTTTCATAACTATTTCCACCCAACAAAAATAGAACAATAAATTTAAAAAAGCATTGAAATAGCTTTAATTGAAGTGATAGGTATAACCAAAACTGTTATACTCTGCATCATCATATTTAAAGATTTTAAATTTAAAAAACAGAGTAAAGAAAAAGCTGAAGCAATAAAATAGCTGGAAAAAATACAAAAGCAAATAATATTTTTTTCTGCAGAATTATACTCTAAAGATACTTTTATTGTTCGTCAAAAATCAAAGGAATACTCCAGATTTTTTTGTTCTCATTTCGGAATTAAAAAAGAATTCGCCAATGACTGACTTGCTTCAATTAGAATTTTAAATTGATAAAAAAATAAATAAGAAAAATTCTGAAATCACAGAATTTTAAAAGATAAATCGCTCTAGAAATGATATTTTTCATTTCATTTCTTGAAAGAACACCAGCATTTTTAAAGAACATGATAAAAACATTTTATATTTTAATAAAATATGACAGTGAGTGGGGATTTTGTTAGAAATTCGGATATTCGGAACACCGTGAAATGGGGGGGGGGATTCCATTTTAAAAATTAGATTTTTTGCCGTCCTAAATCTATGACTTTCCATGATATTTTTTTTAAAAAATAGTTAAAATCCACAATTTTTGTTCAATACCGTAATTCATGACTTTCCAGGTGCACAGATAAATACCCTGTAATTTTTGCCGTATTTTAACACGTAAGTGGAATCACTGGTTATCTTAGCAATAACTTGTTGGCATGCTCTATTAGAGGGGTAAGTAATTTGTGTTACCTTTTTCCCAAGGCATGACTTCAATAGCTGCAGTAAATAATCGATCATTGGTGAGGATCTGATATTTGCTCTTTTCTAAACCACTCGATGAAGGAATCACTCCTGAAACAATACATTTCTTGTTCAAACATTTTTATTTACATTTCTTAAAATTTTCTCTCATTTATTTCATAGATTCATTCACTTTGGAAACAGCAAAATATCTTGAATTGAAAAAGGGGAGCGATATAGAATGATCGTCCATCCTTACGGATGCCAGAAATACGATTTTGTATTGCAAATTTGAATTCTCCATGGATAAACTTTAAGAAAATATTAAAAGCGTTTTATTTCACTTTTTTGATTTAAAGTATATTTTTTAAGATATTTTATTGTTTCCACACTTTATTTTAGGGTTGCCACTCAAATTGGGTTTCAAAATTCCCTGATTTTTCCAGGTAAAAATCTTAACATTTCCAGATTAGCTTTTTTTTCCCCCTCAAAAAATTTAGGATGGGTACAAGGGCCGGGATAGCTTGGTCAGTAGGGCGCTGGGCCCATGTTCGAGAATTTGTGGGTTTGAACCCCGCCGGCCGAAGACTCCCCGTGTAGTAAATGGCGACTGATGCACATTAAATCTGTCGAGTTGCAAAGTTTTCCATGCTTCCATAACAAATCAATACCTCTGGGGGTACTGGATTGGAGATCGATCGTTCTCTGATTCAGGTCAAAGTTACAATCTGTGGATGAATGAATGCGTCCGCCCTATAAAACGGGCTGTGATGTGTGTGTAGCTGAAGACCAGGGATAAGATTAGCCAAAAAGCAAAAAAGCTGAATTTCCACGATAGTAAATTTTACGCAAGCGCAACCCTTTAATAATAACAGTTTAAGGTAATAAATAATGTGTTGACATACAATTGTGTACTAATCTATCATTATATAAATGATTACATTGATACTTAACATTTTTTAGTGAAAATAAAAATTACCACCTGAAAAAATAAATCTGGAAATTATATTTTTCCCCAGTTCACATAAGAGACAATNTTTATGAACTATTCAACAAAAAATGTTTTTGTTTTAGAAATAATGTTCTTTGTAATTCCAAGTGTCATTTTAGTAATCCTTGTTGTAACAAATGATTTTCTGGTACGTTTCCATAAATACCATTTATACGCTGTATAAATTAGATAAATTGCTTCTTTTTCATTTTAATTGTCTATCATTAGTTTATTTATAGAATACCTAGTTATTTAATTTTAGATCAATTGTTTAATTTACACTTTAACTGTCTCTCATTAGTTAATTTATAGAATACCTAGTTATTTCATAGAATAACTAGTTAAAGTGTCAAATTAATAACATATTACACACTTTACGGACACGATCAGTTATTTCATGGAATAACTAGGTATTCTACGAAATAACTGCATTATATACTTTAACGGTAACATATATATTTACAGTGTGCCAAATAGAATAACTTTTGATCTAATGATTGGATCTATATGTTCTAGGGCTCAATTTTACTGGCTCGAGAGGGTGACCTCAAATATGCTAATTAATTAGCATATATGATATTTTAAGTTACAAAATCAGACATAAAAATGTAATTTCTTTGAATAAACATATCTTTTTCTCAATGGATTCGGATTTCTGACCCCCAAAACACACGCCGCAATCTGGGAAATAGGGTCCCCATAGTTTGATCAAGAGAAAGATTTTAAGTTTGGTTCCCTTAATGTTAATCTCACTTTTCGCTATATATCGAGAACTGTTTAAGCTAATTGAACATTTTTTTGCACACAATTATAAAATTCGTTTGTCTTAAGACAATCCCATGCAAAAAAAAAATTTTAGTAAATATTATTTTATTTAATAATTGTCAAAAAAAATTTTGACACCATTTTTTTGATTTTGACATCATTTTAAAGTATATAATTTTGCATGACAACCTGCTAAATTTGGGCAAAATCGGCAGAATAGTTCCTGATAAATTGAAATTTTGTAAAAGTCATACGGTCAAAAATTGATTTCTCAAGAACTATTCAACCTATTTCGTTCAAATTTTTTATTTTGACATGTAAAATTACATACTTTAAAACAACGTCAAAAAATGTATACCTAACAAATAAAAAAGTTTTGACTATCATTTAATAAATACTAATTAAAATTTATTTTTCGCAGGGGATCGTCTTTAGGCAAACGAATGTTATAAATGTGAGCAAAAATTTCTTCATTTCCCTTAAAGAGTTTACGAACTATGGCAAAATATGCAAACATACAGAGGTTCAAATTTTGTAACAGCCTGAGGCAGAATTGCAGCGACATTGTCACAGAACGTTACAGAGTTCTACAGAAAGATTTTTCTTTTGAAAAGTAAAAACTTTTCTTCAGAGATTTACACGTAATATTTGAATCATACATTTAGATAATAACTTTTTAACGAGCACAATTTACTAAGATAAAATCGCAAATCATTGAAATGTTTTGATTGTATTTTTAGCAGTTATTTATATCGCTTTTCACGTGGATTTTAAATATCCAGATATATTGCAAACAATATGGTAAATTCGAATCGTGCATTTGAGTATTTACTTTTTAAGGCAATAATTCTATCGAATTTTTGGCAGTCATTGCTATTGATTTCTCCGTAGTTTTTAAATCCGATATTTTTTATAACAACGTAATCTTGAAACGAAACACGCATTTGAGGAGCCCGATTCGCGTGATTTTGTCATCGATCTTTTTTCAGTAATTACTACTCTCCTGATTTTTAATTATATTTTTATTGTGATGATTATTTACAAAATGCTAAGAAGTAAATTATTTGTGTGTCCCCCTTTCCCACAAAATACGAGAATATCGCCCACAATAATAGAATAAAAAATTATTACATGTTAAAAAAAAATAAGGGTTTTTTTTTTTACAACAGAGATTGTCGCAAAATATCATTGTATCTGTTTGTCAACAAAACAAATAAGAAAACAAAGTTTATATTTACAATAAATTTATTTTAAAAAGATATTAAACAAGGAATTCATACCAGGGGTCAGTCCAGACATTTTGTGAAAGGTCCTGTTTTTGTAAAATTGTGAAAAAATTACTCGTAATTTGTGAATATAAAATAAACGTTAAGTCAAATTCTTTCAACCAGCGTCCTGCTTTTGTGAATTTGTGCCAATAGGGTCCTGTTATTGCAAAAACCTTTTGCAAGGAGTTTTTAAATTGTAAAGAGATACAAGATTATGCTCAACACTGTAAAATTATAATAAAAAAAATTAAATTTTCAAAAATAATCAGCAATTGCTGCTACTAAATTAGAGATGCAACATACAAATATTTGGTTTTTAGCCTATACTGCTGAATACAGAATATTCATTTCAAACGAATAAAGGAAGAAGCATCGGCAAACTTAGTTCGTTTACATCTGTCTTTCTTTCCCGCCACCCCCTGGGAAGAATTAATCCAATTAACAAAACAATAATGAAGATAAAAATTTTTTTGAAGGGTCTGATTAAAAGATAAATTATTTTGTGAAGGGTCCATTTTTAAATTAAAATATTTTGTGAAGGGTCCGCTTTTACGAAAAGATATTTTGTGAAGGGTCTGCTAACGGACCCAAATTTCTTCTAAACAGACCCCTGCATACCCTCACAAATAAAGTGACAAACGAGTAACGTAGAGAAAGAACGAATACAAAATAATCGGCTTCAACAGAAGCTTAAATACTCTTTAGGCAGATGACGTCACGATCCAGGCAAGAATGACCAACAGTAAAGGAAAAGAAACTGGCTGATATCTGCGACCATTACGTTACCCATGATGAGATAGTCATCCTAAACAACTCACGCAAATCGAAGCAATAACCTTTTGTTATTTAATCAATCAAAATAGAGAATACCGTTTTAGCATTTATTTGTCTAATATTCTTCTAAACACAGAGCTTTTGCTATTTTAAATTTGTAGCATTTTGTTAATTGGTTATTATTAAAAGTATCTTGCAGAAAGATATCAATGCTCGAAAAAATTCTGGACCCAACTCCCTATATTAATGGAGTCAGAAATCTGGGAAAAAAAGGTATGTTTTATTCAGAGAAAGTACGTTTGTTGTGTCGTAACTTAAAACTGCCCTAATTAATGAGCATGAAGGTTAGATGAAAAGGTACTTACAGAGTAGAATTGCGCATCTTTTGAACGATTCCCATCCAAGCAATGATGTTTTCTTTGAATGTAGCATTTTCATTGGATTCACCAGAGTAATCATGGACTAAAATCAAACTTTGATTGGCAGCTGCTCTCTGGAATATTATTTTTTCACTCACTTGAGGATAATAAGTCTAAAATAAAAAGCACATTTATTAAAACTGTGTGGAGAGTAGGATTGAAGATCTTGTTTAGCTTGTGGGGAGAGTAGTTATCGACAATGTCAACCGTCATCTATGAAAAGGTACTTCTACATAGAATCGAGTTAACATGTCTTACATACTAGTGAATTGGAATGATAATTTTATAGTGGTAGACACACTACAGTACTCCCCCACCAGAGTTAAAGCTGTGATAGAATTCGATGAAGAGATATCACTAGTTAATTCATTGCTATTTGTGAGGGGACAGCTGTATTAAGATCACTGAACTTTTGAGTGCTGATGGTGAGAGATGTATTAATTTCACTGTCGTCGTGGCAGTCGAGTGCATACGTTGTACGTCAGTGTGATTGAGACTGAGTAGCAACGGCGCGAGGAGATGGATAATGTCACAGTCACAAGTCAACTGTTTAATGTGGACCATCCATCGAAGTAGGCGTGTTCAGATTGAAGTGAGTATTACCGTCAAGACAAGCGTGTTCACATCACGTCCGAAGGTCACCAATGAGGGGGGAGGGGAGTGTGTAGTTATCAACGATGTCAACCGTCATCGACGAAAAGGTACCCCTACATAGAATTGAGTTAACATGTCTTCATATACTACTGAATTGGAATTATAGTGTAGTGGTAGAAACACTACAACTGCTTCTATTTTATGTAGTATTTCAAGAAATATTTCTATGTATCACAACAATAAAATAGATTAATAAAATTATTTTTTAACTTCTTGAATGGATAAAGTAGGTTGTCAATCTCTGCCTTAGATTTTATGTTACCTTTTTTCTTCAAAGTCAAAATTACAAAAAAATGAAAAACAGAAAAATAACACAATAAAAAAAATCCAATCCAATTATTTCAAAGTATGCACTGATTTATCAAGAGATTTCCACGAAGAGCTTTTAGATTGCCCCAATGCTTAATTCAGAAGTTTTCTGGATTGAGCTCAAAATTACAAAGCTATTGAATTGAACTCAAAACTTGAGGTAGCTGTTTTAATGCAGGTTCTAAAAAATTTTTTGAACAACGCTACACACTTCATGTCAGATTTGTTTTAGCACTCAAACAGAGTGGCATTTTTCATTATTTTGTTTATACAGTAGAGAACCAATTATCCGGGATGCTCGGGACCATCGTTATCCCGGATGTCTGAATTTCCCCGTTTTCTGGATTGACCAAAATCCATCAATGAAAACTTGCAAATGATACCGCACTTCCAAAGAATAAAAATTTATTCAGAAGAAAAAGATTTTATTTTTATTAATCGATGCCAAATAGATAAATATAGTTTTCTCTTTCATCTTTTGTTTCACTGATATGCATGCAATGCATTTTCCCCATCCCCCTCGTAAATCAAACAGAAATCGAAATCAGCATGCCACACCCTTGAGCTTGATTGACGGCTTAAAGGAGAAAATAAAACATTCCTCCCTTCCCTGCCTTCAAGGTCACGGAGGAAATGACGTTTCTCTGGGTAAACGGGGAAAAAAATTCTCCCCTTCCTTACATTTTCCTCTACTCAACTTCAAGGATGAGTTCAATTTCCGCTTTTTTCATAATCGTTCTAGTTTAAAATGGCGGGAAAACCGTTCAAAATTTTTCCCGGTTTTCTGGATGCTGGATAAATGGTTCTCTACTGTATTTTAAGAATATCTCCCTTCATTTCAATTCAAGATAGTAAAGGACCACACAGGTACAGGGAATCTTTTTCAAAAGTCGAATCTATGCAACTGTTTTTGAATGATGAACATTATTCTGGATTAAACTTAATTCAACTGCTTTGAATTATTTTATATTTGAATATTTATGAAAGGCCGACCTCTTCATATCAATTTATTTTACTGTTTTTCATTCAAGTTTTGATGACTTATCATTTCACAGCACAGAAACAAAGGATCATATTCTGTTAATAATTATATGGATCTTGAACAATATAGTAAACTTTTAGGGAATAAGCCTTAAGCAACAATTTATAGATATAGTATCACAACAATGTGGTATAAAGTCAGTAGAAAATATTAGAAAATTTTGCTCCAAGATTTACAATTGTTATAAATAATTTCAAGCAAATTCATGTATAAAGTCATATTAATAAAATTGCATAACTTTGAAGATATCTAACAGCTAAAAATTAAAAACAAAAAAAATATATTGTAACTTAATTATACATTTATAAGCATTTGCCTCCTTTAAATGGCTATGGACCATTTCCATGTTATTTATGTGCATTATGACCTATGTCATTATGAGAAAAAAGTAATGTCTCACCAATTGTTTGTAAAATAAATAAAAGGGAAGCTGTCTAATTCATGGTAAGAAATGCAAAGCTTGGCCAGATGTCTAAAAAAAAGTGAAGCTTTTGGGGAAACTTTTTCAGATAATCACGCACAAAGCTGCGGAAACACACAGGGGGNTGTTTAGGATGATTGTATCCAATATTTTATCTAATTCTATTAATACGGCTAATTTGATTAAGTTTTATCTAATGATTTTCTCTTTGTTCTTTAATGATATTCTACTTCATCACCATAAACTTTAATTCTTTTTTTTACACCACACAGCAGCCTAATCTAAATATACTATTATCTAATAGGAAGATTCTGTTGTATCTAATGTAAAAAATACATCGCTATGATTTATTATATTCATTTATGGAAATTAAATATCAAATCTTGTATAGAATAAAATCTGTAAATATCAAATCTTGTACACCCACCTTAATGCATGGCTCAAAAGTAACAAGTATATTGACATAGGAAAGATTGCAGAGAACTTGAAGAACAAGCGTGTCCATCTCTAACTTGGGACACTGGCCAATATTAAGTCTCTGCAGATTAGGACTATGGAGGAGTTGCAATCTCTTCAATATCCTACAAGCTTGGACTGAAAAATAAATATTCAAATTCATGTTCATCATAACTTTAATCAGGGTGGCTTTTTTTCCATCCGAATTATTATTTATGAGGCATACTATTGACATTCACCCTATACGCATCCAAAATTATATATATAAGATGACAGGGTTCCAACTCAAATGTGGAAAAAAAATTCCCTGCGTTTTCCCTGTACATATTATATACACTATATTAAGAGGAAACAACAATTACTGTGCTCTTGCATGAGATTTATTGGGCTAACTATATTTATTAGTTTTAATTGCTGGAAAAACAGCTGAACATACTTAAATAATGCTATAGTAAATTAAATAGCTTAGTATAGCTGAAACATCATTTATAAATATCCCATAGATTACGCTTTGAGTGGTCACCATTTTTTAAGACAAAAATAGGAAACAAAATTTCCTGTATTTTCCCACTTTGTAAAGAAAAATTCCCTGCATTTTCCTTGATATTTTAGGTGATTTCTAAATTCCCTGTATATTAAAGGTTTTTCCCTGTGAAGTGGCAACTCTGGATGCAAACTAAAAATGTTAATGAAATGAGTTGCTATCTTTTGAGTGTTTACTTGCTTAAAAAAAAAATTATTACAAAGTCAGGAAAAACAGTAAAAAAAATTATCCTGTAAAAAACAAATACATTTAATAGCTTTAAACGATAATAGTAATGAATGAATTGTGCTCATTGCAATTATATTTCTGGGTGCTTTTTCAATAAATAATTGGACATTGTCGTAAAGAAAGGGTTGTTTTGATAGTATCAAATTGACAAATGCTCTGTAAAGATGGCAATGTTGGTTAGCATTAAAAATTGTAGAAATAAGAGTCTGTCAAAAAGTGCATAAAAACTTATTTAATTCAACTGTTAATATGAGAAAGAGTAAACCAAACAACTTGAAATCTGATGAATTACTACCAAATAGCATCTAAAGACAATAAAAAAAAAATTGGGTGAATTTTTTTTTTTTTAAGTGTGTTTGTAATAAGGTTATTCCATTTTTGGAACATTGGCATTAAGCCTTTTCTTTTTTATTGCCTGTAGTTCAACTGTGTACATATCTTCGGTCAGAACAAAATGGTATCCACTTAGAAAAGCATGAAAATGTCATTTTAGGAAATATATTAAGAGTTTTTAAACAAAGCATAAAAGTTATGAATGATGTAAAATATTATTATTCAGACTTTAATTGCTCATAAAACTTCATGTTCCAGTTTTGGAACGTTAATCGGTGATAACAAACTGATAAAATTTATAGAGGATGGAAACTGTATCTTGACAGACATAGGATAAACAAGTTTTACAAATGGAATCCTTTGTGATTAATTCCTAATTTTAAAAACAACATCATGCGAAAGATGAGCGTACCTTTAGACAACACTGTTTGATGTAAAATGAAACAGCTTTTTTGAAGAAAAATTGTGAGATATTAAGAAAGAAAGCACTGAGTTGATAACAAAATAATGTAACATCAGAATAGGCTTTTATTTCTATGTAACAAATCATTGTATAAAAAGTTATAAATTTTGATATGCATTTCAACACAAATAGATCTGCTAGTCTTAAATACTGTAATGATACAAATGAAATATTTACTCAATTTATAAGTGCCAATATTTTTTTTAGATTTAATTTCTTGACCTGAAGTCCAATAGCATGCTTTTGTTTTCACATTATATTCTAAATGTAAAGTTCTAAAAACATTTGGTGTCGTAAAAACTTATTACACTTTTTTACAATATTATTTTATTTCTGAGTGGGTGTGTTGTGATGAACGGGAAATTTATTTTTAGCCCGAAGGCATTCAAATAAAAGAAGTAGGAAAAGAAAACATTCTAATAACAGGTGTTCTTATTTAACTTTTTAAACAACTAGACAATTGCTCAGACAGTTCATAAATGAACTAAAATTTTATTTTAATTATTAACAGATGACTAAAATAACTTTTAAGGTGAACAATTTTAAAGAAATTGATTTTCCTAATATATGAACCTCTTAAAGCACTCATTTTCATGAAGGAAAAAAAATGTAATTATTTTTTATTTAAGAAAACGCATTTCAAAACCTTGGTTTGACTTTTTATTGAGGCTTTTGACTAAGCAAATAATATAGCTGATGTAAATTATAAATATCAATTCCTGATACTACTTACCTTCTAAATGAGTTAAATTATGACAATGATCCACTATAACATCTGATACACCACACGCTATCACACTTAAACTGATTAATGATTCAGAAACCAGCCTCAAAATCTAAAAAGAGGAGATCATTAATGCCTTTTTATCAGTATCATAACAATAGAATTACTATTATGGTTCTGATTACTAAATAGAATACTAATTAGCTTTTAAATTTTCTCACCTCATCAACCAATCCTGAAAAATAATTTAATTATTATTTATTTTTCTTTTTGGCCAACATGGATTAAAATTTTAATTAAATTCATTTTCTCAGCATGTGAGATCTTTTGTTTCAGATCTCACAAAATATCATTTTTTTAAGTCTACTTAAATAATGTAATTGATGCCCGGTGGGCTTCACGCTCCCGTGCCACAGGTCCTGGGTTTGATCCTCCGGCCGGGCAAGGTTTACTCAGCCTTTCATCCCTCCAGTGGGTCGATAAATGAGTACCAAGCACGCTCGGGAACTGAACACTTGGGGTTCCGCGTTCGGCTGACCAGAACATCTGCTCTTGCACCCCGGAGTCCAAGGTCAAGAAAACTGAGATGGGCACAGTAGACCTTGGTCCTCTATGGGCTGCCGCGCCACAAAGTTCAGTTTAAATAATGTAATCACTTTAAATACCTCATTATGTTAAAAATTCAATTAGAGATAAATTGACATAATATATGAGATTGTATGTAGTTGCCATTCTACTGAGTTGAAGGTTCTGTGTTTTATGGAATTGGCTATGAATTGTGTGAAATTTTGTTATCAGTCATATTCAGCAAAGTTACCCATTTTATATGAGAAATCCTACAACAACAATTCAATTGAAAATGCATGTTTTGAAGAACTGTTTTTATGTCTTCATTTGAGGTAAAGGTTCTGGAGTTTTCCTTACTTTGTGACTCACATGGCAATGCTTTATGTACACAATGTGACAAATAAATTATAGTGATATAAAAGTGGAAATTCCTTTCATGAATTTTGATTTCTAAACAAGTTTATAAACTGGATTAAAACATGCGTTACATCTTTTATTTGAATTTAATCCCAAAATTGTGATTCACAATGCTTTATATACACAATGTGACAAATAAATTACAGTTTGAAATGATATAAAAGTTGAATTTGAAATTCTTTTCAAGAATTTTGATTTTTAAACAAGTTTATAAACTGGATTACAATATGTGTTACATCTTTTATTGGAATTTAATCCCAAAATTATATGACTAAAATAGAAGCTGTTTTTAAAAAGCTTTCTTTCATGACTAATCTATGACCCAAGTTTAACAATGTGATCATTCATTATCAGCTACAATCCCACAATTAAGTGTATTTTACAAGAGCTTTTCATTACTTTTTTTTATTATTAAATATAATTTTTTTTAATTTAAAAAAATTATTTGGATTTTCATTTTAATAGCAGGGAAGATAAAACTGAGGGTAAAATGACATTTTGAGAGTTTCTGTCATTCTACAATTATTATGGAGATCTAAGTTATAAAAAAAAACAAGCGTTATTTTCCTTTTAACTGTAAAGGAGAAAATAAAAGAAGCTAAAATCAGTCAGATACAAGTTAATTGAAATTGTATTGTGAGTACAAATTAATTTGGTCCGTTTTCAAAAGAAGGCTCTGGCTGTTAAGAATGTTTCATAGTGACAGTTGGTTTCGGTGGTTTCAGAGAGGTTAGACGTCTGTCAATAATATTCAGTTTATATCGCTTTGAGTTCCATACAAAAACCCTGTTTTTTACTTCGTTGAATACGTCAAATTTTGTGGTAACGAAGCAGCATTTACGGGAGGCTTTATGTTTCTGCTTCAATTGGAAGAAAGGTGCAGCCGAAGCGCAACGAATGATTGTAGAAGTTTATGATGACAATGCTCCAACTGATAAATCATGTAGGGAATGGTTTCAACGTTTCAAGAATGATGAATAGTCTTGTACACTACAAGCAGCTACAACCTGGCGATTCCATTATAGGCTATAGTTGATTCGTTTGAGCTGGGCATTACGATAAAAACGGCTGGAATACGAGCAAAGACATGACACAGTTATTCTTCTGCCAAATAACGGTCGGCCTGATGTTGCAAAAAAATTTTTGGAAATGCTCCAGTGGGATATTTTATCGCACCCGCATATTCGTTGGACAGGGCTCCTTCTGATTACTGGTTGTTCCGACGGATGCAGCACGATTTGGCAGGTCACCGGTTCACCTTTTTCGCAGAAATCGAAAATTGACTCCTAACTTGGATCGCCTCAGAAGACGAGACATTTCTTCGAGATGGAATTCGAAAATTGCCTGAGAGGTAGCCAGCAATGTACAATACTTTGATTAATCTGTTCATCCATTTTGCTCTGAAATAAATGCATCTTTGACCACACAAAAAACGGACCAAACTAATTTGTACTCCCAATATATAGGAAAAGATTTAGTTAAAAAGAAATGCATCCTTAAGCATATTATTGAGTCTAAGTGAGTGGGGGGTAATATAGTTCACACATTTTTAAGAATTCCGCAATAAGAACTATATAGAAACTCCCTCATAAATGGAAACAAATGTTGCATCAATATAAAATGAAAAGATAGAATTATCGAGAAATAATATGAAATATTTCTTTTCTTTGGTTATTCAGTCAATGAAATGAGATTGACCTTTCCCGTTTATTAACTAATTTTTATTTATAGAAATAAGAAAGTTGCAATTTTATTTCAGTGATATAATCATACTAGGGGGGTAAGCCCTCTGTTCGCTGCCGCTCACCAACCCCGATAATTTTCTTGGCAGAGAACAGTTTTTCTACTAAAGTTAAAACTATTCCCTTAACATATAAGTACTAAAAGGAATTCTATTTGCTTACGCTTGTGCCTCTATATTCCATGTCCAAATATTACTATCTATTAGTACAGTACGACCTCCAAAATCCGGAAATTTCTAAAATCCGGACTCATACGTCCAGTTCGCCAGAAAAAATTTAAAAAAAAAAAAACAATAATAATCGGTTAGAATAAAAATTTAAATGCAAGAGCGCAAAACCTGAACTCTTCTCCAGTAATGAAGAGGTAGGGGTGGGGAGTGAATGAAAGCTCATAGCTGATAAGTAAATTCCAGTCATTCTTATCAGCTCTGTATAGATAACAAAGAATATAAAGGGTAATCCCCTCGGGAGGAGTTCTTCTACCACCTTGTTTTTCCCCCTTGTGAAGAAACAAAACTGATTCTTTCTTTACCTTGAAGCATAGGAGGTGGGGTCAAGTTCTTTCATCCCCCAACAAAAAAAGGATTAGTATCAGCTGGTACAGTCTAGTCTAGAAGCATCTGTTTCAGTTATAAGTTGAAATTCAGCTCTCGTTTTAAGCCTATATTTTTAGTTTTAATTGCTAATATTATGTTATCTAAATGATTGATTACAGGGGGAAATGAGGAAAGTTTGATTTTTAATGTCTCTTATTTATTATTTAAAGTGTATATTTATGTTAAAATTAACGTTGGAGGTCTACATGCGCGCTTTTAATCGCGAAATCGGCCTGGCGAATTTGAAACTTCGATAATTCGATCAATTTAAGTAAGGTATCTAAAATCCGGACTATCCAAACCGGCAGTCTGGATTTTCGAGGTTGCACTGTATTTTAAAAAGTTAGATCTCATGGTGAACAGAAGTGATTTTTCAAAGTAATCCTTTTTTAAAATAACATTTATTTTCTTATAACATTATATTGTTCGAACAAATTTGATGAGTTCACAACTATAAATTAATATTTTTGCTAATAATAGTTGTACTGGAAAATAACTTTAAATTAAGGATACAAAAATATTTAAAGGAAAACAATGCTTTTGCGACTTTTGTTAATTTTATGCTGATGACAACCAAAACAATATTGAAATGAATGAAGAAAAACTGGGTCCTACCTCGTGATTTTTAGGCCAATAGAAATGCATGGACAACAATGGAAAACGGTTACACCATCATTAGACATAATTCAAATAAAATAAAAATCGCCACTCAGCTTCAGCTGGTAAGTTTAGTTGTAACATTTTAGCAAGCAGCATTNATGAGGAAAGTTTGATTTTTAATGTCTCTTATTTATTATTTAAAGTGTACATTTATGTTAAAATTAACGTCGGAGTTCTACACGCGCGCTTTTTAACGCGAAATCGGCCTGGCGAATTTGAAACTTCGATAATTCTATCAATTTAAGTAAGGTATTTAAAATCCGAACCGTCCAAACCGGCAGTCCGGATTTTCGAGGTTGCCCTGTATTTTAAAAATTTAGATCTCATGGTGAACAGAAGTGATTTTTCAAAGTAATCCTTTTTTAAAATAACATTTATTTTCTTATAACATTATATTGTTCGAACAAATTTGATGAGTTCACAACCATAAATTAATATTTTTGCTAATAATAATAGTACTGGAAAATAACTTTAAATTAGGGATACAAAAATATTTAAAGGAAAACAATGCCTTTGCGACTTTTGTTAATTTTATGCTGATGACAACCAAAACAATATTGAAATGAATGAGGAAAAACTGGATCCTTACTCGTGATTTTTAGGTCAATAGAAATGCATGGACAACAATGGAAAACGGTTACACCATCATTAGACATAATTCAAATAAAATAAAAATCGCCACTCAGCGTTAGCTGGTAAGTTTAGTTGTAACATTTTAGCAAGCAGCATTATTAAAAAATTATTACCTTTTAACACACACATGCGTTCTCAATTTTAATTGGCTGTTTTGTGTGTTACTAACTGCACGTCTTCTGTGATTGGCTATTTGTTATTATTTCACTCTCTTTTATGTAAAGATATTTCTTTTACAAAATAATATTCAGTTAACGTAAATTATAACTTAAAGCATAAAATAAAATAGTAATAAAATATATAACCAGACATTGAATAGTTTGAAGAGTACAGCTCAAAACAATAAGTTATAATGTTAGAAATGTATACCTGGACAGCATCATCTTCCATTAAAGGATCGCTGGTGCTGGTGGCTTTGTTTTGAAGGCTGAAGTCCTGTTTACGCTTGGATTTTTTATGTTCCTCTCGAGCAGAACTAAGGAATAAAACAATACATTAAGTACAAACCCATTTCAAATCTAATCTTCTATTATAAAAACACTACAATGATTAAAACTTCATACAGTATTTTATATTCAAAATAAACCTTTCAGAATATTTTAAAACACAATAATATTCACTAATTTTTTTAAAAAGAAGTGTTTAAATCTAAGTTTCTCCTTTAAAACATTGTGCATGTTTTCTTTCTTACAAAAACAAGATTTTAGGTTCAGAAAATTATTAGTACAACTTAACAAAAACAGGTTATTCTCATAGAAAGTCAGAAATAACATTTTCCATGAATGAAAAATAAATGATGTATTCAAATATAAATTACTATTTTATTACATCAGAAAATAATAAATGAATTGTTAAGTGAATTAAAAATTATTTAAATTGACAGATTAAATTATGAAAAGAAATTTAAGGATGTCAATTCAATGTTTGGGGTTGCTCATAGACACTTTGTTTTAACAGCTCTGTTTCATAGCGTAATGAAATTATTCCACTTTTGATTTATTAACATCCTCTCATGAAGAATAGGTATTTTATTAGTATTAAATAAAAACTTTTGCCATATAAGCTTTCAATAAAAAATTATACTTTCATGCCTTAGTCAACCTATTTATGAATTATAAAAATTGCATAACAAACAATGTTCTAAAAGCAAAGAGAAAACATTTTTGATACTGAACACAAATTTTGGAAAAGAAATCAGAATTATCTCCATGGTTTAGAGAGATTTTAAATTACAATATTCTCACCAGAGAATTGTTGATTTAAGAACAAGATAAATGACAACACATTCAAGGTTAAATACGAAAGCTTAATTAGGTAGAATAACATAAAGTATTCTAGAATAAATATTTATTATAGGTACTATTTTTAATGAGCATTATCTTTTATAAAATATAAATGTATAAGCATTAAAAAATAAATTTATTTTTCGTGCTTCAGCCGTCGCAGAAACTTTTATAGAATGTTCTAAATCAAATTTTTTTGTTTCGTTTTTTTATATAAATTATTTTAATTTACATTCAATATGCCTCCATTTTCTTAAAAATTCTTTAAAGAAATAAAAAATTGTTGATTGCTGCACAAAAATGTATAAGTTTATAAACATTTTTATACACCGTAATTTCGTGAAGATACACCACGGTGTTTATGATTTAAAACATTACATTTTGGTGTGTTAGGCATATTTAACTGCATGCCTGATTATCCTGAGTTAATTTGGGTACGTATATATAGCAAGTATGTATTATCCTGATAAAACTTGGGTGTAACAGAGTTTGTCAGTACGTTTTGTTTTCTCATGTTTTTAGTTGGCCGAAACCTTAAAAAAAAAATTCTGATGAGATTAGAAGTTCGATTGAGAGTTATGCTGTTAGATTATGGGACTGCAAAAATGTTTTATGCAATTGTTAACACAATGGCTGTTGACTTTACACAGGAAGAAAGAGAAAAAGGGGCATCACTTCACTGGCTTTTGGGAAACTATCACGTTGTGTTGTCTCTTTTAAAAACAATCAAACAAAGACTAATATTTAACTTTCTTCACTTGCCCGAGATAATGTGGGATAATAAACTGATGGTAAATTAAATATTTTCTACACATGAAGAAATTAAAATTTTAACTTAAAAACTTGCGTATTGTTTTAGTTCCTATTAATGAAGTAAAAAAATATGTTGATTTTTTGCATTTGTTTAATAAAAAAAAAATTGGTAAGGGAAGCAGTAAATGGTTTTAATACTTGAGTTTGAAAATTCTTTTTTGTTGAATTGATTCTCCAAAATTTCCCCTTTTGCAACAATCTATTTTTATGCTTTAAAGAATGCAGGCGAAATGTAACAAGGTGTGTAGAGAAATTTTTCAACAAAAAATAAGCACCTTTTAAGCACTGTTCAAGCACTCAAAAATATTTTTAAGCGTATTAAAAAAGCATCATATTTAGACAGGGTTGGCAAGTTCTTGACAATTGATGGTTTTATTTGCTTGCCAATGACGAAGACGATGGTGCATCAAAAACAATGAAATTAACAAGAGAAATTCAATTTTCTATCGCAAATAGAGAAAAAAAATAGCAATGTTTAGTTAGTCCCCCTAATCAGTAAAAATTCGAGAGATTTTTCACTTTGATTCCAGAGGGCGGAAAATGAAGTCTGAAATTGAGAATCTCTTGCAAAATGCAGCACAGAGTTGCACGTGATAGACAAAAATCCTTCCTATTGAATCCAGCTCATACACAAATGCGGACCAGAAATTTCATCAAACATGTAAAAAGAATAGTGTTTTCATACACTACGGACCGACGGTACTCCAAAATAGATTGAGGTTGAATGAATTGTGAAAACGTTGAATAGGACAATGTCTTTTTGCATAATTCGTGGCAAAAATCAACATGGTAAAGATAAAATCTAATTTTGGAAAAAGGAAAAATTAAGAACTTTTTAAAAACACCCAATGAAAAAAGCACCTTTAAGAGCTTTTAAATAACGGAAAAAAGCACCTTTAAGCACTTTTTAAAAACGCTACACACCCTGAGTAATAATCTCCCTTTCAACAAAAGAGGAATAGTCTTATACAAGGATTATCCCCTGCTGCAGATGTGAAGGGAAAAAATAATATCCAAGTCCCTAAAACGAATGCATCAAGTGAAATTCGATCTATCTTGAAGTTCACCTCCCTATTAGAAATAAATGATTTCTAAACTTAGAGATGTTCGAGTAAAACGATGCAACATGAACTGTTTTATTTATTCAATGTTTAATGCTTATCTTATTTTTAGCTGCTTAATCATTTTATTTGTTTGGGATATTATTTACTGGGATATTATAAAAAAGAAATAATTCACTCACGATAATTTTATGTTTTAATTTTGCTCAAAACGAGATTTGTTAACTTTTATACCCATTTTTAAAAAAAAAATTTTTTTTAGCAGTTCATCTGATAGGTTAAAATTTAAGAAATTTAAAATTAGTAAAAAGAAATGGGATGAGTTCATATTTGTTTTGCGTAGCACAATTTTGCACAAAACAAGATCTTATTTTATTTGTATTAATATTTTTTGAAGTATTTTAAATCGGTATTTAATTAACATGATGGTTTGCGATTGTGTTGTAATGGAATTGGGCACAATTGTACATTTGAAAAATTATTGAAATTTCTGATTTTAAGTAAGATTGCATATATTTGAGATTTGATAATCATTTTAAACATTTACTCGTTTATTTTGTATATAACCTGTTATTTGAAACACATGCGTTAAATCCGTGATTGATCACATGGTAAAATTTTATGTGACATATCCAATGGTACAGCCTTTCTGATGAAAAACGTTTCCTTTTTAGTCATATTTTTCCGGAGTGGCGTATCTCTGCCAAATTCTGGCATTAATAAACTCATTAACTGAGATGTCCTTCAATGATTTGCCTGTCAATAGCTACTTGTTGTTGACTTGATGTTAATACGTCTATTTACTATTCCATTAATTAGTTTCAACTCATTACTTTATTCACTCGCTATATCTAACAGTTCTCACAATTAATGGAACATTTAATAAAATGTTTATGAAATATATTATATTAAAAACAAACCGATTAAATTAAATTAAAGGTTACCTCTTATAAGAGAAAAGAACGGATGGTTATAAAAATATTAAATGATTATTGCTATCAGATAATATCTAGGAAAAGATTCTCAATCCAAATAATTAAAAATTTTAAACTGTACATAAAAATAAATAAAAACTACAACAATAATAAAGATATAGATAAATCAGATGAATAAAGAGCCTGCTATAAACCAAATAAAATATGAACTGTTCAAAATAAAATATGGACTACAAAGGAATGTTTAAATAAACACAAGAAATATTGAATCTGACAATTTAAAAACGCTTAATAAACAAAATAGTTTTTATCTTGTTTTAGACATTGGATCTTTTTAAAATATTTCCATGGAAAATAGTTCAAATCAAGCCTTCCTTTAAGGAATGGTTTCTATCATTGGCTTGAACAACTGAGAAAATGATAGGAAATATAGCATAAGCAATTGCTCTGATTTCTTGTTTTTTGGAGGTTGCGTTTCATTTCAGACGCATGAGATCACATATCCATAATTAACACATAATCGAACAATTTTATTAATTCTTATCATTGTCATATCTTTTTTAATTTTTTAGAAATAATAATACCATTAATAGATTAAAATAAAGTTAACGACAAACATTTTTAGATGCATTAAAAAAGGGGAAATCATTTCATAATAAAAATAATTAAAAAAAATAATGGATCGTCAAATAATGAAAGACATACCAAAGCATGACATTAAAAACCTTTAGCTTACATTTAATACACAACACAATTATTTTTTCTAATTATCTTTGATTAAAAAGGAAATTAAAGAGAGACAAAAAAAATTATTATGAATCAAATTCCAAAATGATATATTATAAAGAAGAAAAAAAACTGCCTGTTTTCATAAAACTGAAAATTATGAATAAAATGCAAGAGAACATTCAACAGTTGAATGGCAATAAATTTCTTCTGGAAAATGCGAAAGTATTTAATGTCAAACAAATGGTTTTACTGCTGCTCACCTTTCTCTAATAAAACCTTTACTTAAAGAACCACAAAGAACTATAACAATACCCATTCATATATCTTTTAAGCAAACAATATTTAATAATTTAGAGAACATTAAATCTGGTGTCCATTCCTTCCAAGCACTGCGAATAAAAAGTGAATGGAGGGAAGGCAACTGGAATAGGGGTGCACAAACTGAATTGAACTGAATTCCAATTCACTAGAATATAAGACATGTTAACTCGATTCTATATTGGGGTACCTTTTCACAAATGAAGGTTGACATAGTTGAAAACAACTCTCCCCACATGGGTGACCTTTGGACGTGATGTTAGCATGTTTTCCTTGACAGAAACTCCCATTTCGATTTGAACATGTCAACTTCGATGGACTGTCATTGACTAGCTACTTGTGACTGTGACATTATTCACCTCTTCACGCTGTTGCTACTCAGTCTCGATCACGTACAACATATACACTCGACTGCTAAATGCAACAAATGAGCAACCACAACTGTGAACTTGATCTAGCTCTCACGATTAGCACTCAAAAGTACGGCGATCTTAATAAAGCTCTCCCGGTTACTTACAAAACATCAATGAATTAACTAGTGGTATCCATACATCGAATTCTATTACAGCTTTAACTCTGGTTGACATTGTCGATAACATACGCCCCACATGGGTGACCCGGAGGTGATGTGAACATGCCTACCTAGACAGAAACTCTCACTTCCATATGAGCACGCCTATCTTGACAGTAACACCCACTTTGAGCTGAACAAGCCTACTTCGATGGATGGTCCACATTGAACAGTTGACTTGCTACTTGTGACTGCGTCACTATCCACCTCTTCGTGCTGTTGCTGCTCAGTTTCGATCACACACAATGTACAGAGTATACACTCGACTGCTAAAGGCAACACATGAGCGTACATGACAGTGAACTTAATACAGCTCTCCAGGCTCCTCACAAAACAGCAATGAATCACCCAGTGGTATCCCTTCATCGAATTCTATTGCAGCTATAATTCTGGTGGGGGAGTACTGAAGTGTATCTACCACTACAAAAATACAATTCCAATTCACATAAGACATGTTCACTTGATTCTATGGTGGGGTACCTTTTCATAGATGAAGGTTGACATTGTTGATAACATACGCCCCACAATGTTACTAATTTTTTGATAAAAGAATTTAGGGCATAAAACCCTTTAACATTATCATATTTGCCCCAACATGAATCGCTCAAAAAAGTTGTGCACCCCTAAACTAAATCATTTGATGAAATCTTACATTAAGTTAGAGAGGGAACCATTTTGATTATTTGTCCGCCGCTGACTACGTCTCTTCGGAGGAGAGGCTTTTTGTTTCTTGTGGGAACGCCGGATGTCTGCACTCGTTGCTTGAGTGCCTTCACTAACAAAATTATGAGATTCATGTATTGTCCTTTTTACAGTCTTCTTTGATGACTGTCCTTTATTCCTTTGCGTTTCAAAACCTGTCTCATCTTGAAGAACACGACTAGATGATTCAGGATTTACTAAGCAATCCACAGCACTTTTTGCCTCTTCGGAATCAGAAAACCCACTCTCTTTCGTTTTTGAATAATCGTGTTCTTTCTTTATTTTTTTAACTATGATAGCAGATCTTTTAGTTCTTAAAGGTGAAGAAGCATCCATTTCTGGGTCAGAGCTATCATCACACGCACAGAGGCAGTTTCCTGATTTAGAGGTTGAAGGCTGAGTTGGATCAAAAGTACAAGAATGCTTGAAAGGTCTTTTCCTTGTAGGTTTCCTGCCACCATCGCTATCTGTGTCTTCACTTTCTGTTCCATTCTTGGCATCAGAATCCAGACTGACCGGAGCAACAGCCGCAGCAGCATTATTTTGGTCGTCGAAGAACTCTTGCGGCAGCACCATTCGGTGAGGCTCCTGATATCTACCGTTTTCGACAATTTCATCCAAATCGTCGTTTTCAATGAGATCTTCTCCCTGAGCTTCAAAATCTTGTTGGTTTCCGTTCACAGCGACGTGTTCGTCTTGGTTACTGACGACGGCGGACGACATTCCGAGACCCGTTCCGGCACTCAGTCCGACGTGACTGCATCCTTTGGGAGGCTCCCTAAACATGTCATTCAAGATGACCACTTGAACTTTTGGAAGGAATGCAAGGAAAAGTGCAAAGGAAGGCAGCTGTATGCAATGACAATGCTGAAGTGTCAAATCGGTCAACTCTTGCAGAGCTGGATCTCCTAAAATAACATTGTTGTACTTAAAATACTAGTTTTATACAAAAAAAAAAAAGACCAATAAGAATCAAAATATTCCCTTGCACATAATAACACATTAATTAATTCACAAATTACTTATATTTTCTGACTACCAGATGAAAAAGAAGGCCAACTAAGTAACACATTAAAATAATATTTTTAGAGATGATAAATACTAGATGAAAGGTAATTTTGTCAGATATATAGAGAAACAAAGGTGATTTTTAAAATTCTAATTTGGTTTTCACATTTTAAAAGATAAATTAGGTTCCTTTCAGGGCTCGAAAAAACTCAGAAATTTTACCCGTCCCCGAGGACGGCTTGTCCAACAATGTACCCGTCCTCCTTTGAAACTAACCTGTCGCTTCTAAATAAATAAAAATATAATTTTCTCTTATTTATTACAAACATTTATATAAATTGCACAATGAATTAGTAGTTACTAGGATTACAAATGTGAGGTAATAAATTTGAAATAATTTTAATTGTTTTGTTTAATAATCGAAAATCAACGTTGATCCCAGTGTAATAATTTCTAACTTGGCAAGATTTCAAAAATTCGCAAGAGGTGGGCTATTCTAGGATTTTACCCTACACACTAACCATATCCAGAAAATACTATATTGAAAGGACCAATAAACGAGGAAAAGTATAGTGTTATTACGCATACAATATACTAATATTAAATTTATCCAACCCTGGCTCATACAATTGAACGAACTCAGTACTATTCAGATTTTGTTTTCGAAACATATATCACGAAAAAAAAAAGAAGTAAACTAAGTTCGGTAATCAGCTGGAGATAAGAATCACTCATAAATGGTGAAACCACTTAAAAAAAATTAAATGTTATATCACCCCCAAAGGAAATACTCGAGTTTCAAAAAGATGTATCCGGAAAAAACATAGAAATATGACACTTCATTCAAATGTATCTTTTTAATTAAACTTCTTAAGTGCTTCCAAAAAAACATTAAATGCTACTCTGCCAATCATAGAATTATTGCAATAATTAAGTGATCAGTTAAATATAAAAATTTCATTTATTTTACCCTGATTCCACAATATCTCCTTCAGAAACTAGAAGTTCAGTCACAGTTCCACCAATATTGGATTTGTACTTAAGAAGTGGTTCTGTTATATCGGATTTCACGCCTTCATTTTGTTTGTAACTTAATATTGTAGAATTGTAATACAATTGATGTCCTACTCTTATTTTCCATTTAGATAAATGAAATGATTTCNGGGATATTTATTAAAAAAACGAAACTTTTAGAGAATCGGAGTTTTTGATAAAAAGGTTGAAATTCGAGAGACAAAAAGAATCTCATCCCTGTATAAAGGCCAACCAGTTTTATCCCAAGGAAATGATTTTTAGAGAAACTTCAGAGGGAGGAATAAAGACTTCAGTAATTTCGCTCTGTGGAAAATTAAATTCCTCATAAAATATTTTAACTTGTGCAAAAAAAATTTCAGCGGAAATTAGCGGGGAAAATGGAAAAATCTGAGAAAAAGCGGAAATCCGCGAATCCGCGGAAGAATCTCATCCCTGAGTTTACTTAAACAAAATGTTATTAAGCAATTACTAGAACTAATAAAGACGTTTTTTTAGTTTCTGTCAGTTTTTACCAGCTTTTGCCACTGGCATGGCAAAAACCAGTTTCTGCCGGCAAAAAGCCAACCCTGAAAATCATTAACGACGCATTTCAAAAAGTTAATGCGCTTATAAATTTAAGTCATTGATATTTTCAAAACATTAAATTCCAAATAAGTTATATACAGAACAATTTAAATGAATAATTATGTAATAGTTTACTTTTATCTCTAATCACATTTATTATTCTACCAGAAAAAATATTTACAAAAAAATTGCCAAGCATAAATTCTAGTTCTAATACTTTTAAATAAAATATACAATAACTTTTATACATAAATGAGATCAATGATTTCTTGAAACTTCTGGACCTCGGATTTCCGTTAACTTCCGGATCACGGTTAGCCAAAAATCCGGATTTTTTTTCCGGAGCACAATCATCTGTGAAAAGATAAATTAGGCTCCTTTTGAATGCTAACCTCATCTTCCTAAAAATACATCCTCACTAATAGATGCAAAAGTTAATTGGGTACTATTCCAAATAAACATAAGTGAAAAATAACACCAAACCCACAAATATTATCTAATTCTGTGATCTCTATAAAGATTTTAAATTTATATTCACTTAAACATACATGCATGGCGATAGCATCAAGGGGAAGCTCATTGTATTATGAATCTATTTAGTAATATTTTTATTCAAATTTTAATTGTTTTTATCTTAAGCTACATTTAATATACTTCAAAGGATACAAAATGTTTATTCACATGAAATAATCTTTTTTATTGCAAACTATAATAGTTATCTGTTGTATTTAACTTTTATTTCAGTAATTTATATGCAACCTTGCGCTGATTACCAAAAGAAATTAAACAAAAAAATCTTATGGAAACATCCAAAACAAGACAAATATCTTATTTCAAAATTAGCAGTCACTAAGTTTTATGAATCACTGGACCACTTTATATGCAAGTGACAAACTTAAATATAATGCAATATTGATTTCACTTTAAAATAAGCAGACTTTATTACCGAGAGAATTGTACCATTGATCCATAGCCATAAGGTGCGGACAGTTGCTCACAGATAAACTCTTCATTTTTGGAAATAATTCCACAATAATTTTCATTCCACTATCAGTCAAAGAAGATGGAGTGTCAGGAATTTCAGCAAGACCAAGAGTTAACAATGTATCGTTGGACCATTCACCTAAGGATTAATTACTTTCAATTATCACTTGACTTATGTAACTGTATTTAAATATTTCTAAATTTACATGCCTTTATTAATCTTCTTTATTTCTGTTTTACTTGTTTCTACTCAGGTAAAGAGAATGAGCATTTTAATGAGAAGTTACTCAATTCTAACACATGTTTTAACTTGAGAGCTAATTAAATACTTATTGTGGCATAATCTTTTCAGAAAGACAAAACAAAAAACTAATGAAAACTTTTTAACTAGAAATAAGTTAATTTTGCTTCAGAACTTTTTATTAGCGCAATTAAACATATCAAATTAAATAATAATTTTCTCTCACGTCTTTGTTTGATCCATTCGAGATTTTGGCAAGATTTGAAGCTAAACAATGTCTTACGGTATTTATATCCACAGTCTCCAAGAAATGTCATTTTTATATGGAGTTATAAAAAAAATTATGTTCTTCCTTAATAAACTTCCAGTAACTAACCCTTTCTTAATTGTTATGGGGATATTTCAAAAAAGTATTTTATCATTTATTAAAATTGTATATTTAAATCATCTTCTTTTATGATGCAATGGGACAGAAATTCTAATATCTTTTCAAACCTTTGGATTGAAACTGGGATTTTTTTTCTCTTTCATATTTTTAAAATCAATGTACAGTGCACAAAATAAAAAACCTGAATAACTATTAATCTACTGATCGGAATTTTACGTTCTAGGACTCAATCTCAATGGCTCGCGGGGTTAACTTGAAATATGCTAATTAAAAAGTGCAGACGATATTTCAAGTTACAAAATCACGCACAAAAGCGTACTTTATCTGAATAAACATAACTGTTTTTTGACGGATTCGGATTTCTGACCCCCAAAATATAGGGGGTAGTCGCAACCTAGAAAATAGGATCCCCACACTTTGGTCAGGAGAGTGCTCCAAAGTTTGGACCCCTTAATAATAATTTCACTGTTTGTGCATTTTGCCGCATCTCGAGTACTTTTTAAACGAATTGAATATTTGAACACAATTATACAATTCGATTATCCAAAGATAATTTCATGCAAAATATAACTTTTAGCAAAAAAATAATAATTTATTATTTTACTTAATAAGGGTTGAAAAAATGTTGAGTTTCAAGTGAGAATTGAGTGCGTAACAAGCTTAATGATAGCACCAACCCTTGTCACTTACACTTTTAACATCTGCCAAAACTACAAAGGGCTATTTTCATCACTTTTTTAAAAAGTTCAATTAGAAGTAAAATAATGTTACATAAATGAAAGATAAAAACTCATGCAGTTTTAATACACATTAGTATAAATGAAATTATCAACAGTAATTATTCAAACAAGCTTACCAGATATGCTTAATTTGTCTATAAAACCTAAATGTAAGCTTTTCAGTTGTGGAAATGAGCATTGGGCAAATGATAATGACACGAAAAGGCTATCTCTTGTCAAAGATGGCTGAATACTAATACTTTCCAAATTTTTGCTAGAAACTATCATAAGATGACCCAAATCTGACTCTAAAACACCCTGAAATTGAAATACATTAATATACACCATCAATAGATACAGAATAGAAAAGATAATTTTCCTTATTGGATAATTTACAGCTTTTTATCTGTTTATTACTATACTTCATGTTTAACTATGCTAGACTAAGTCCATGAATTCAATAACTGTCAGTGGTGTAAACGACTTCATAAGTATACATATACAGTAGGGAGCCGATTATCCGTTTTTTTATTGTTAAACCCAACTAAAAAAAAAAAATAAAAATTTTGGAAATAATCTTAAAAAGAAGAAAAAACGATGAAGTAATACACTAATGATTATTTCCAAAATGATGGTAAGGTGAACATCTTTCAAAAAAGAAAGAAAAATCCTAAAATCTTATGAGGAAAAAAAATTATTTTTTTAAATGGCGGGAAAATTTATCGAATTTCGTTCCGGTTTTTTGGTTTTCCGGCTTTCTGATTTCCGGATAACGGGTTCTGTACTGTACTATTGTAAAACTTTGTTTATCTCTCTCTTTTTGTGCTTTTCTTTAAGTGCCCATGGAAAGAAGAATCACGTGCATGTGAGCTTCTTGTTAGCGAAAATTAGCAAAAGTTTAAAGATTTGAATTTTAGGTCGAACAATTCCGTGAAAATTTCGTTGGATCATAAGTTTTTGATTAGCCAAAAATTTCGAGAACCAATGGTCCTGAAAAACGTGGAATTCTATGATATTCTATGATGTTCTGCTCTTAATTTTTGAACCCGGAAAGATAATAAGAAAAACCCGGAAAGATAATAAGAAAAACCCGGAAAAAGAGTTTTTGACTCTAAAGCAACAGTTTAAAGTAGGGGTGTACAACCTTGGCCCTCCAACCACTGAAGTGCAGCCCACGAGAGCTTCTGAACTCAATAAAAAATAAACAAAAATTTAAAATATTAAAAATGTCTTAAATTTTTTTTATCGCACTTTTAAGTCATCACGTTTTGAAGCTCTCAATTTTTATTGATTCTATAGTAAATGTATGTTAACCGAGCTTTCTTTAAGCCGATTTTATCATAAATCAAAATTATTTTTTAGCACTTATTTCCGCTTTTCAACATAATTTTGAAAATCCTGAATTTTTATAACGATATTATTACGACACGCGAATTTCAGATCACTTTTTGGCAGTCCTTTCTTTTTTTTCAACCATTTTTCTTGGGCAGTTATTGCTATGCCCAAGCAGTTTAAAAAATTCCGATAGTTTTATTAAGAATTTTAAATCGCTCAGTTGGCACGCTTTATTTGTGCTGAATTCAGCATTAATTTAAGAGATTTGCTATTTTAATTGTTATACTTTTCCACGCTATTATCCACGTTATATACTTTTCCACATTATTAAAAAATCGGCCGAATACCGTACATTTGGGGCCATATAAAATTTTTCGTCAGAGCATAGCAACACTGAAACCAAAAGTTCAATGCTAAGAATAATATTTTCTGAAAAAAAAACATGTTTATAAAACAACGCTAAAAAATTAGGCCTATCAGAAACCCTTTGGAAAATGCAGTTCTATAAGAACTAAAGATTATATACAAAAGCGAAACAGAGAAAATAAAAATCGATCTTAATTTTCGGAGGAAAATTTTAAAGCTGAACATCTCAGTTTTCCAATTACTAGAACAGGTCAAGAATATAGTCTAACAGAAATGTTCTAAAAAATTGCTGTGTCATAATAAAAAAGTCACAATAAAAACGTCTGTAAAAAGAGAATTCTTTTTTAAAAAGAAAAAAAAACTAAATAAGAAGTGTTCTTAATTTTTTTAATACAGAATACTGAATTTAAATTCAGCATATTGAATTTAAATATTTCACATTGCCATATTTTTAGAAGAAAAGAGTTAATTAAAAGTAAAAGCAGAAAAAACAATTTGTTCTGATTTCCTGAAACAAAACTTAAACACTGAAAATCTCAGTTTTCTATGTTCCCGGTTATCTATATTACGGTACAGAGAAAAAAGTAATCAATAGTATAGGATGTTCTGTTAAAATTATGAGTTGAAATAAAAACAGCAAAAAAAAAAATCCTTCTCAAATCTTGGAACTAAAAGTATAGAAAAAATTAAGAAATTTACTTGTTTGAATATAATTCTTTTTTTAAAAAAAGCAGAAGTGCAAAATAGTCAAAGCAGAAATGCAAAGAAGTCAGTATAAAGTAATCTAGTTTCAATTCTTCAAACTTCGTTTTTCCATTTGTCTGCTGGAAGATGAATTTGTCAGGTGTGCAGAAACATGGATTTTAAAATGTAACAAATTTATGTAAAAACTATTCCTTATAACAAACAATGGTATAATACAGTTATAAATACGATTTTATATTATTCTTCATCATATCTATACAAATTCAAAGAAAAAAAAGACTTAGAAAAAAACATTCTGCTGTATATTTGGTTGATCACTTGACCAACTGAATTTTTGACAAAAAGGCCAAATAATCGTTACATCCTTAATTTAAATGCAATGCGATTGCAAGTTGAGGAGGAGTTCAGAAAGTGTTGGAAAACTCGAATTTTTAAACTGCTCGCTATTTGTAATTTTGATTAAAATTTTTTTCTACTTGAATGATCTTTTTCCGTAACAAAAAAATGAAAACGTTTACTATATAAAAAAAAATCTAATATTCATTAAAAAGAAATAATAAAGTACACTTTGAATTTATATTACTAAATATATACAACATTTTTTTCGACTTTCCTTCTGTGAGCATTGCAGTTTTTTTATAATAATTTATTTTTAAATGAATAATTTTTGCATTGCGTGATATGATTTAAAAAAAAAAAAAAACATTTGTTTTCTTGTTTTAATGCTTATTTACTTATTTTAATAAATCAATTTTTGATGAGATAAAAATGGAAATTATTTTTAAAAAAGTATTAGTTTTTTCATTTTTGACAGAGATCTAATAATTGAACACTTTAATTTTCTGCAAATATATTACTAAGTTTATTGTAAAAAAAAAATTAGAACACTAATTTTTAAATACATATTACTACATTTGCCGTAAACATGTCTAAATATATATGCAGCCCTTCGTTAGTCAACCTGCTGTGCTAGTGGCCCTTCAATCAAAAAGGCTGTGCAACCCTAGTTTAAAGCGATAAAATGGGTTGAAAGTACATTTCAACTAAAGTCGATTTTGAAACCTTGAGGTAAGTTATGGCAATAAACATGTTTTACAGTTTCAACCATTATAAAAATTATTCAAATTTTTTTTCTAAATGAAGAACATGAAAAATAACCTTGCATCCAGATATAACCAAATGTTTTAGATTGACAAAACCATTGTGTCGATAGGAGTCTTCGATGGCTCTTTGGAAGAGTCCACCCGGAAGAGGGACTCTCACGAGTTCTAGGCGTGTCAGGGAAGGGGCTGAGCTCAATGCAATAATTAGGGACAGGTATCTGCAAAGAAACATTTTACAAATAATAAATGAATTTTAATTCTGATTTTTGAAATAACTATAGCAAAGCTTGATTTAAATCACGATTAAAATTGTGATTTAAATCAAATTATTATTATTTTTTAAATCATTGATTTAAATTAACTGATGTTTTTATTTATTCATATTGATTTAAAAAATGTCAAAAACAGTGCTTTAAATTATTGATACTTTTCTTTTCTTAGTTCGAAAATTTATTTTAAATAAATTGTTGCATTAATAAATGTTAGTTAATGAAATTACTTTCTTTCTAGGTGTGTGTTAAATTCCAACACATTTGAAATTACATTTTTAAAAATCTTTTGATTCTTGAGATTGAAAGTACAGATTAAAGTAAAAATTTAATGCCGTCTTAATATAGACTTGCATAGCTGTAAAAATTAATTAATAAACATGAATTTTTTTTCACAAAAAAATACAAATAAAATTCGTAGCGAAAATCATTACGGTAAAATCTCATTTTGAAAAAGGGAAAACTACCCACTTTTTAAAAACAGCCAATGAAAAAACCACCTTTAAGGGCTTTTAAAAAACAAAAATAAGCACCTTTAAGAACTTTTTAAAAATGCTACGTACCCTGTATAAGACATGTTAACTCAATTCTACGTAGGGATACCTTTTCATAGATGAAGGTTGACATTGTCGATAACTACTCTCCCCACATGGGTGACCTTTGGAAGTGATGTTAACACGCCTATCTTGACCGAAACTCCCATTGTCCACATTGGACAGTTGACTTGCTACTTGTGACTGCGACATTATCCACCTCCCCGCGCTCTTGCTACTCAGTCTTGATCACATACAACGTATACACTCGACTGCTAAAGGCAACACAGAAGCAACCACGACCGCGAACTCGATACAGCTCTCACGATTAGCACTCAAAAGTAAAGTGATCTTAATACAGCTCTACCGGTTACTCACAAAACATCAATGAATTAACTAGTGGTATCCGTTCATCGAATTTTACCACAGCTTTAACTCTGGTTGACGTTGTCGACAACATACGGCCCACATTGGAGACCCGAAGGTGATGTGAACATGCCTACCTAGACAGAAACTCTCACTTCGATATGAACAGCCCTATCTTGACAGTAACACCAGTGTTTTCACCACAGAGCGAGAACGCGAGAATCTCACATATTTTTTACTTTTCTCGCATTAAAAAATGATTACCGTGAGAAATTCGCGCATTCTATAAATCAATTTCAAAATTCGCGAATTTCTTGCATTTTGGAAAAAGCTTTGAATTACGCCATTTAGAATAAAATCCATCTCACTCTTCTTCCTTGATCTTTCATTATTTTCAACATCTGCCCCGTTATCTAGCTTCCCTATTTACCAGTCTTGTTCAGAACCTTTTCCAACAACAGAACACAACCACGGAACCTCTTTCAGAACACATTTCTCTGCAACCACGTGTTTACCATAGGTAAGGTTTCTTCATGTAAGACGCTCAAATTTTTTATGCACTAATGTAAGATGGACAAATACCTTGTAACGGTAAAATCTTCTATGATGATGCACCAAAAATATTCAATGCTTAAAAAAATAAAAGACGTTAAAAATGTATTGATGATTTTGATGATTTTTCAAGAGTTTTTGTGTTTTCTTAGTTTTTAGAAATCTCACTTAACTTTTTGAAATCTCGCCCTGTCTCTGAGAAAGGGTGAGAAATTCTCACAAATTTTTTTTTCTATGATGAAAACACTGAACACCCACTTCGAGCTGAACAAATTTACTTCGATGGATGGTCCACATTGAACAGTTGACTTGCTACATGTAACTGCGTCATTATCCACCTCCTCGCGCTGTTGCTACTCAGTTTTGATCACACTAACGTACAACGTATTTACTTGACTGCAAAAAGGGCAACACATGCACATACACGCCCGGGAACTTAATGCAGCTCAGATTGATTCATTTTATAAACCCATTCAAAATTAATTCTAAATATGAAATGAATACCTGAGTGACATAGATGGACCCATACAATGTTTCATAACAAAGGATTTGAGATTTTGAGCAAGAAAACCTCGAAAAGGCTGAAGCTTTGTAAATCTCACACACTGTAAATGCAGATGTTTAAGATGAGGCATGGCTGTCAATTCCGGTACTTCAACCCCTATTCAAAATAAATAAATGGAGATAACATTCTGGTACACAATAGTCAATTGAATAGGATATTATTGAAACATGAAAGGTACTAATCTCAAATCATGAAACTATTTTGCACAAAAAGAAAACATTTACATAGTTATTTGTGTATCCCGTGGCAGAATCACAGTGACAATGTCGCAGAATGTTACAGTTTTCCTTGCAAAAAGACTTTTCTTTTGAAAAGTTAAAAAAAAAAAAAAATTTTCTTTTGTGCAGAAATTTACACTTAATATTTGAATCATACATTTAGATAATCGCTTTTTGATGCTTTACGACGATATTATCCTAAATCCATGAATGTTTCGATTTGTGGATGTTCGATCATGTGGATTTTAAATATCCTGATACATGTCAAACAATATAGAAAATTTGAATTGTGCATTTGAGCATTTAATTTTTAAGGCAATAATTCAATCACATTTTTGGCAGTTATTGTTATTGATTTCTCCATAGTTTTTAAATCCGTTATTTTTTATGCAATATTATTTATTACAACAACGAAATCTCGAAACAAAACATGCATTTGAGGAGCCCGATTCACATGACTTCGTCGTCAATCTCTTTTTGACGATTACCACCACAGATTTCATGATTTTTAATTATATATTTTATTGTGATAATTATTTTTCAAAATACGAAGAAGGAAATAATTTGTGCGTCTGCTCCTCCACAAAATGCAAGAATACCACCCATAATATAAGAATAAAAAATTATTGTATGCTTTATTAAAAAAATTATATAGTTTCACAGCATTTTTGTTATTTTAAATTTGTAACATATATGTTTGTTATTATTAAAAGTATCTTGCAGAAAGATACTAGTTTTGTACAAGAGAGTTTTTACAAGAGAGTTTTGTCGCAGATTGCTCGAAACAATTCTGCCCCAGGGTTTGCGTACATTGACAGTCAGTTAGGCTTCATATATAAGTCATGATTAAAGAGAATAATAGCCTAAAACAACAAAATAATGTTTTTCTTTTTTCTGTAGTTTAAAAAATGTTCTGTCAAAAGTCAGAAGAATCTCATACCTGATTATTAGATATTATCTAAAATCATTCAATAAAACTGATCATAAAAAATAATAAACTATTTCTCTTCCTGTCAATAATATTTATCAAATATTAAGAAAGCAATTATTTTTGACTCATTTTCTCACGAATGTGAGTAACCTAGATCTGTCTGTTGATAAAGATGGTTCATGCGGTTATGCTACTTGGGTTTCTACTTAATCATAAATTACTCTTGCCATTTTTTGTGCAAAAAAGTAATGTTGGAACACTTTTAAGTAGGTAATTAGTATGCATTTGTCACGATTAAAGAAAACTATGATTCATTAACTAGGTTTGGAAACTGTTATTATTCAAAATGGTCAAAGATAAGCAACTGGGAATCCAGTAGAAGAATAGATCTGTAGCATTTCTACTACGACAAATATACAATTCCAATTCACAAGTATATAAGTTACGTTAACTCGATTCTACGTGGTGGGGTACCCTTTCATAGACGGAGGTCGGCATTGCCGATAACTACTCTCTTCCCACATGGGTGAGCCGAACGTGTTGTGAACATGCCTATTTTGGCAGAAATGCCCACTTCCATCTGAACACGCCTATCTTGACAGTGACGCCTACTTTGACGGATGGTCCACATTGAACAGTTGACTCACTACTTGTGACTGCCACATTATCCACATCCGTTGCAGGCCGAAATGGATTGTGGCTGAATGAATTGTGAAAACGTTGAATAGAATAATGTGAAAAGCACGCTTTTGCACGCTGGTGAAAATTGACAAGGTAAAGAAAAAATCTCGTTTTCGAAAAAGGAAAAATTAAGCACTTTTTAAAAATACCTAATGAAAAAAAGAACCTTTAAGGGCTTTTAAAAAACGAAAATCGAAAATAAGCACCTTTAAGCACTTTTTAAAAATGCTATGCACTATGACTATGTTATTAGAACTCACAACAAGTTGTTTCAGCAGAAAAAGTTTTAATTTCATTAACACAAAAGAAATCTTTCAGTTTTATGAGGAATATCCAATAAAAATGAAACTTTCTCAGTAGCTGGAATTTCTTAAAGAATGAAAGGGCAGATTAGAAAGATTTTAAAAGATAATGATACCTTAAAATAGCTATAATCCTTACCAACTAAATGGAGGGAGAAAATTCGAGGGTAGGGCTGAAGCTTTAATCTATGTGAAGCATGAGGTGGGAAGACACCATCTCTGTTTTGAAAGTTCCCAATGATTTCCAAGTCAGGTAAATGTTGCATCAGTGCTTCTAATAGTCGTAAATCACTTATCTCCACCGCTTTTAGGTTACCACACAAGCTCAAAGCTTCGATAATACCCGGAACAGTCAATGCAGATCTTCTCTGTCTCAATCTTCTTCTTTCAACTCTTTGAGGGTGAAGTCCATAGACGTATTCGACGTGGGGACATTTTCTGAACAGGGCGTGGATGTGGTCGTCCGTCATAGAGGAAGGCATGTAACCGTACATCTTTCCTTCACAAAAATCAATTGATTTGCACAATTGAAGATACATGCCGACGGCAGTGAAAAGCTTTCGGCAGAGCATCGACAGAGACAGTACTTCGTGCAGAGGAAGATACTGCAGAATGTGACACAGTAATTCATGTGACATATCAAGCATGTCAGTCTCTGACATTTTTAATGCTCTTCCAAAATGACAATCAAGTATTCATAACTGTGGAGAAAATAACAGAAATAAATATAAATTTCAACAAAAATTCATATTCAATATAGTACAAAAGTTAGTGACTGCAATTTGTGACTGCCAACAGGGTATCTGCTACATTTTAAAATTTCAAATTCATGACTTTTCATGATTAATTCCAAGAATTTTTTATGACTTAACGAAGTTACTATTTTTTCTGACAAAAACACAACACTAAATTTAAAAAAGCATTATAATAACATTCATTGAAACTCATTGTTATACTCTGCATCTTCATATTTATAGATTTTAAATTTAAAAAAAACAGAGTAAAGAAAGATTTGAAGCAATAAAATAGCTGGAAAAAAATACAAAAGGCAAAAATATTTTTTTCTTTTTTTTTTTCTGCAGAATTACACTCTAAAGATACTTTTCTTGTTCATGAAATTTCTTGTTATGAAAATTCTTTTCTTGTTTTCTTGTTCAAAAAATTTCGCCAATGACTGGCTTGCTTCAGCTAAAATTTTAATTTGATAAGATAAAAAATAATAACAAAAATTCTGAAATCAGTTCAGAATTCAAAAATTCAGAAGTTTAAAAGATAATACGCTCTAGAAATCTTTTTTCTTTCATTTTTTGAAAGAACACCATCATTTCTAAAGAGCACAATAAAAGCATTTTATATTTTAATCAAATATGACAGTGAGTGGGGATTTTGTCACAAATTCAGATACTCGGAATACCATGAAATTGGGGGGAGTGGGTAAATTTCATTTCAAAAATTAGATTTTTCGGTGACCTAAATCCATGACTTTTCATGATTTTTTTAAAAAAATAGTTAAAATCATGACAAATTTTGTTCAATACCGAAATTTCTGACTTTCCAGGTGCGCGAATACCCTGTGCCAGTCACGACTTTTTTTTTAAGAGGTGCATTTCTATTTTTAATAAACATGGAATTATTTTGAATATTACTTTAATGCACACTTTTTTCTAAAAATTTTCATTTTAGAAGGGAATCATGTAATGCAGGGTTGGAGCTTTGGACGTCCTAAACTGGTTTTGGACAGGACATGCGGGTTTTACTGTCTTAAACTGGCCAAAACTGTCTTAAGTGTCCGAAACCTTGAACATTGGTAAAAGGTAAAAATTCTATATGTGTAACCATTGTACACATAACATTAATAAATATTTGATGCTTTTAATAAAATTTGCCTTCACTTATTAAAGGAAAATAATATAATATAATAGGAAAATATTTATAACATTTAAAGCTTCACAATTCATTGAACAACAAAAGTGAATACCTTACCCCTTAAATATGAATAAATATGCTTTTAATACTGATAAATTATGTTTTTGCATAAGGATAAATAGTAATACAAAATAGTAATATCAAAAATAAAATTTTTTAACATAACAAAAACTTTTCTTTATTCTGCCTCTTGCTCAAAAATGAACCTTTTATTTCTCACAATACTTTTTACTTTTTTTTTTAAATTGTGACATAATTTAAATAAAAGGGTTTTGGACAGTTTAAGACAAAGGAGTTTTGGACAGTTTAAGACAAAGGAGTTTGGGACAGTTTAAGACAAAGGAGTTTTGGACACAACGGTTTAAACCGTGGATTAATCCATTCTGTCCTAAGCCTTTCCAACTCTGATGTAATGTAGGGTTGCAGAACCTTTAGTTTCTAATATATTGGCGGCAAATATAGTAATTTTTATGTTAACATTAGTATACTTAGAGCTAAATTTTTTATCCGTAAAATGAGTAATAACGGAATTAAATACTTTTAATTATTAGAATATACTCAAACATGAAAAAACTATTACAGTTTTTCTTTTTTTCTTTTTTCAAATTTCCTTTTTATTAAAAATAGATTCGTTTAAAAAAAGTATAAACATACGGAAAAATAACTGCTTTTTTTAAAAATCCTATGACACAATACTAAAGTTAATTTTAAAATAAACTCTAACAACAAAAAAACTGTAATACTCACAGTGAGAATGATATTTTACTATGAAAAAAAATTATATATATATTTTAATGAGTAATATAAATTCAAATTAAATATTTTAATTCAGGAAAATATATGAGGTTAAAACAAATAAAAACAACGTAAGATTCAATATTAAATTTGGTAAAATACTTCAATTTCTATCTATTGAATTATTAGATGTTTAATAAATTTTAAATAAATGTTTTTTTTTTCTTCCTAAACTAATCATTTAAGCAACAAAAAATTTGAAACAAAATTACAAAGAACGAGCAGTTTAAAAATTTGTGTTTACCTCCATTTTTTTTAATTTCTCATGTTGCAATATTAGGATTCTAAATGCTTCATGCAAATGCATGGCACTAACGGCCTAAAAAACGATTGCAAAAATAACTTCGTTTTACGATGAAACGTGAACAAATAAATTCAAAAAATGATCATTTAAATTTGCGAATAGTTACCAACATTTAGTAATAATATTGTAGGGAAAATAACAGGATCGTCAAAATCGCATGGAAAAACAGAAATAATTGGAGAAAAAAAATCACTTCAATTAGTGAGGATTTAAAATTTGAATGTTGTATAAAAAATGTCAGAATTTTTAAAACTAAATAGAAATGCATAGATATCTACCAAAAAAAAGGTTGAAAAATAACTTGGATTGACAATGAAATTGGCACAAATAAAGTACATCAAAAAGTGAATAATTAAATGCATGATTCATAACTCACGAGTCAGAATAGTGTATTATCCAATGGCAGAATTTCTTCGTGCTTTCTGAGCCAAACTTCCCTAGCACTAATATTTTTCTGCAAGATATTTTTAATTATAGCAATATCTAATTTAAAGTAACAGAAATATTGCATTTATAGAATAAAAATGTATAAAAAGATTCTAATTGTAAATGTAATATTTTTTTACTTCTAATAGGCGATATCCTGACATTTTGTAGTGACATTTGACATCCCACTAATTACTTCCTCCGTCAAATTTTATAAATTACTACATAAATTAACAATCGTGACCATAAATCTCAAAATAAATATCAAAGCAAAATCACTCGAACAGGACTCTTTATACTAGAGATACTCAAATAGGTGTTTCGAGATTCTGTTGTTACAATAAATATTATACAAAAATATCAGATTTTAAAAACTTTGTGGAAATCAATAACAAAAGACAGCCAAAAAAATCGATAGCAAAAAAAGCAATCGAATCATTATGTCAAAAAGCAAATACTCAAATTTACTATATTATCTTAAATATATCGTACTATTTAAAGACCACCATAAAATCAATATCGATGACAGCCGAAAATACGATTGAAACGACGCATGGATTTATAATATTATGGGAGAAAAGTGTCAAAGAGTGATTATTTAAGTGTGCGAATTTTAAAATTATATCAACTGATAAATACAGGAATTTAAAAAACTATGTAGAAATCAGAAGCAAAAACAGCCGAAAAAACGGTGAAATCGCCACATTAAAAGTAAATAATCAAACATGCAATTTAAATTTTTCAGTGTAATAAAATTGTATAAAAAATATCAGGATTTTTATAAAGATAAAAATTTGCAGCAATCACTGTCGAACAAACGATTTAAACCAGGGATGATTGTGATACGAAGTGAAAAAACCTGAAATTTTTTGTGAGCAAAAAATAGATATAAATTTATATACCATACATGTTTTGACATATTTTTTAAATAAGATTTATAGGTAATTAGCTACCAATGATGAATATGACACCTTTACAGTAACTTAATTAAAGAAAAATCTTAGTTCTTACAAGAATCACGATATTAGATTTTTAAAATTGAGTGAATATGAATCGCAATATTTTTATTTTATATCCCGTAATATTTTTGTATCCCGTAAGAAACGATAAATCCATATTTTTGTGCTGATTTTTCAATATAGTCTTTAATTTTCACATATTATGTCTAAATTTTCACAAGAAAAGTACCTCTCAGAAAAACCTAGACAGACCACCGAGATAGCTAAAATCTACCAAACCAAAAGAATCAATTGGTAGATTTCTGCCCATTGGCAGATAGAATCAAGTGTATGTAAGTGTTTCATTAGAGGAACTTTCAAAACATGAACTTTAGAATTTTGAATTTCCTTGAAATTTTCGTCAGATTATAAGTTTTTGATGAGCGTAAGTCCGAGAACCGAAGGTCTCGAGAAATGCGGAATTTCGTGATATTCCCAGAAAAATCGTATGCCCCTTTCCTAATTTTCAGACCCAGAAAGATGATGCGAAAAACCTGTAATTCCGGGATACCCCCTGAATACAATCACCCCTGTGAAACACTGCATCGATTAACGATGATATCAGCGTAAGCCCAGTGCAACAAAAGAGTGATTTCTTTAATGCCCAATTTAAATTTCATGTGTTTTAACAATATCAATACTTTTTTTTCAGTGAAAATTAGTAGCAATAATTGCCAAAAAAAAAATATCAAAATACTACATAAATTTGCGTTGGAATCTGAGCAAGTTGTGAGTGATTTACCACATTGCAGTTTCTGACCAAACATGTGCTACCTTTTTGTAAAAGANTCCGAGAACCGAAGGTCTCGAGAAATGCGGAATTTCGTGATATTCCCAGAAAAATCGTATGCCCCTTTCCTAATTTTCAGACCCAGAAAGATGATGCGAAAAACCTGTAATTCCGGGATACCCCCTGAATACAATCACCCCTGTGAAACACTGCATCGATTAACGATGATATTGGCGTAAGCCCAGTGCAACAAAGAGTGATTTCTTTAATGCACAATTTAAATTTCATGTGTTAACAATATCAATATTTTTTCTTCAGTGAAAATTCGTAGCAATAATTGCCAAAAAAAAATATCAAAATATTACATAAATTTGCGATGGAATCTGAGCAAGTTGTGAGTGATTAAGACTCAAATGCGTGCTTTAAATTTTTCATGTGCGTAACATATTAAAAACATTGAATCAATTTCTTTTCAACTAAATTTTTTAAAAAAAGCGACAAATGTACCACAATGATTGATTAATTTGTTTGTACAACAAATCTGAACTTCTGTAAAATAATGACTCAGTCATATTTTATAATATTATAAGACATGGTGTTCTTTAAAAAATAAGAAGGGTCTGTCGGTTTTTTTTTTNTTTTTTTTTTTTTTTTTTTTTTTTTTTTTTTTTTTTTTTTTTGAGAGGTAGGACCTATTTTGAGAAAATTTAGACATAATTTGCAAAAATTAAAATTTTTATTAAGACATCAACACAAAAACAAGATAAAGTAGGAAAATATTTTAAAAAATTGTCACCTCAAATATCATTTATGACAGGTTCATTTTCTCCATACAAAAAAGATAATTTTGCTATTGTAAAATTGTGGGCTTAAAATTGTACCCAAATTTGAAATTCCATAAAAATTATTGTCCATAGTTAAATTTCAACTTGAATTTAATAGAAACATGCATTTAACAGTAGGTACTAGCACTAAAAGTTATTTTCATGATAAGAAAATTTTCGACTAGGTCACACAGAAAAAACTTTAACAGAGGGAAAAAAAATTTCATAAAAAATAAAGGTGTGTTAGAATAAATTTACAATAGTGTTTATGATAAAGTTCAAATGTTCAGAATAATGTTCAAATTTTGACTTCCTGTGAAGTTTACAGGGGGAGACGCTAGATTTGATATGGCGTAAACGACCGTTTAGGTTTACCACATTGCAGTTTCTGACCATACATGTGCTACCTTTTTGTAAAAGACAAAAAAGCTCCTCTTTTTCCTAGATTGCAACGAGTACAGGGTTTGCATGAGAGCTTGTTTTATTAAAAGTATTTTGTAAAACTACCGTTTTTCATAAAGTTGAATTTGCGAAGGTACCGCTAAACGGTAGAAAATATACCCTGGACAGACCCCTGGAAAAGTTTTTAAAAAAATGAAAGAAAGAACATAGTTTCAAAAAAGAACTCTCTTTTAAACTTTCGCAATTTTTTATTTCATATTATTAACTTGAAATTCTAGCTGAAGATTGTTTTTTTTCTTCAATATCTTAGCAATGAATTGAAAAATCACGAAAAAAAATTTTTCCTGTCTGATGAGCAAAAAAGGAATCTTTGAGAAAAATCTTTCAAAAAATTCTGCAGATAGACAGCATTGTTTTAATTTTCAAATTTTCTATTGCTTAACAAACAAGTTGGAAAATTCCAGTACTTTTAAATATTGAGCTGAAAACATAAATTATATTTCATATGTATGACCCAATCATTAGAGAGGATAATAATACCAAAAAAGTAAGGGAACTGAAATGCAACCAATTCTAAAATACATAAGCAACTATTTTTTATTAATTTTATTACACCAACTTCCATTAAAACTTTCACCTCTAAAGAATTGGAAATTCCTTGACATCAATATATTTGGTGACAAAATTTCGTTTCGTTCGGGGAATAAATAATAACCATAATAACCTGTGAAAGAAGAAATAAATATGAAAGAGTAAATATTAGATGTTATTTCTGCCCACGTAAGGGAATGCTTAATTTTGTTCTTGACAGTTTCCTGGAATATAAATAGGACTTTTTGCTGTTTTTGGCTGACGAGCTTTTTAATCAAATACATATATTTGATTGGCTGACACTGTCATCCTCATTGCTTAAATATTTTTCTCTGGTTTATAAACATTTAGCATACCTATCCCTTGCTTGGCAAACAAGATTTATTCGAGAATTTTATTTTCCTTTTATCTTCCCAGCAGATCACCGAAGTCAAGCATCACTGGCTGCTGTCAGTGTGCGGGTGGGTGACCACTTGGATCAGTCTACGTAGGGGCCGAGGGTGTGCGGTATTGGTCCTCATTAAACTGTTCCACCGTAAAGTGCTCGACATCGCGCGCAGGTCGTTGGGCTACCGAAGCGGGGGTGCCATCCCCTGTGCAGAGGATCATATTTGTGATGGCATGTCTTCAGATCATCCTCAGGGATGTTTCCCAGACCGTCGCCAATAGCCCATTGTGCAGCTCTAGTGCGACGTAAATGAACAACAACAACAATACCTGCTCTAGTTCCGGTTAGAAAGTATGCAAGTGCTTACCACAGCTTATTCTGCGAGGTGATATGTTCAAACGGATAATCTTGTTTTCAATAAAAGATGCAAATTAGATAATTTCTGAGCTCAAATCTGCCATATTTCATTAGATATTTATGTTATTAAGTAATTCTGGTGAGTTTGAAGTAAAAATTTGTTTTAGTCATTTATAGATTGGTGAAGAAGTACACCAATCTATAAAAAAAAAAGGGTGACATGGTTGCTAGATGTTGAATAACTCGCTTTTTTGGCTGACCTGAATTGGCCTCTTTCCATTTGCTTATTACTATTTGTTCTTGTTGCAAGCTGTGCATCATCTTATGTTAGTGTTAGCACCTTTAGCATTGTAAACACAAGAATTGTTAGAAGTATTAAGTAATCAAATACCACGTTTGCAAGAATCTCAAAACACACTGATCACGTTGTGAGCCAAATGGCTCTAAAATACTCCGGAAACAGTAACCCGGAAGGAGACGGTATGGAGCTTGCAGCGTTCCCTAGTGTAGCGAATTTAGCCAAGCGAATTTAACTATATATTTTAATTTGTACTTTAGTTAATGAATAAATTTTCGGTTTAAAAGTAAAATCATCTTTTAATAAATTTCGTCATTAAATAAAATTTATAAAAAGAAGAATAAGAATCAGTTTGCACTGACAACAGCTCCGACATCCCGTGGTAAAGGGGTCATGTCTTGGGGGGAGAATAATCTTGCTCTCGAGTTAACCAAGGAGAATATCCATGTTTTGTTTTTGTACTAATGTAAAGCAAATGTGAACTTGTTTCAATTTTGATATCCTCCATGAATGTGAATTTGTCGTAAAACTTTACCAACGATTTTTCATTCTCGAGTCAGAACTTAGATCTAAAGTTCTGTTTAAAAAAAGAAATAACGGTTTGTAGCGTTAAAAACAAAAATTCATCTGTAAAAATTCATTCAGTAATTTTTAGGCTTACAACTTACAATGTGTGGTAAATTGCACAATACAGTAAAAAATACATCGATGACAGAAAAAAATTCCGTTGTTACTGTAGTTCATTTACGTCGCATTAGAGCTGCACAATGGGATATTGGCGACGGTTTAGGAAACATCCCTGAAGATGATCCGAAGTCATGCATCACAATTCTGATCCTCTGCAGAGGGGATGGTACCCCCGCTTCCGTAGCCAGACGGGGGAGATTTCCGTATCGTGATCTGTGGCAGAATAATCGCCAAGTCTTGGAAACTTCCGGGCAGTGGCCCACGAGAAACTAAAAAAGAAGAAAACAACAATACAGAAAGGGACCAACTTGAAAGGTATAACTCGTAGCCACCCCGGGCAAACATCTACATGGTTTTTTTTCCCCCTTCTTTTTTCTTAAAAATGGAAAGTTTAAAATCTATTTGTCACCTTGGCGATTGTAGTTGGCGGGACAGATCACAATACGGAAATATCCCTGCCCGATGACCTGCAGTCTTGACCTGAAGTCGAGCACTTAACGGTAGAACAGTTTAACGAGGACCAATACCGCACACCCTCGATCCCTACGCAGACTAATCCAAGTGGTCACCCACCCGCACACTTTGGAGATACATCCTTCTTCTGAATTAAGACTGTGGGATCTGGATCTATTATTTTTGGTATGCTCCTTCTGTTATCTCTTTCTGAAAGAGCTTCCTCTAAATCATCGTTCAGCTGTGGAACCTGTAGTTTAGATTCTGGAATCAAATGTTTCCTATTCCGTCGAAGCACTTGTTTGCCTTCTTTAACAAAGTATGACCTTGGTGATTCTGCTTTTCTCTGTGCAGTTCCAACAGCCTTCCTATCAGTTATCCATACTTTTTCACCCGAAAGTATTGGTTTCAATTCATGAGCATTGTTTCTCCGATCATAATCCTTTTTCTGTCTTTCTCCTCTTTTTCTTCTAATATCTCCTTCTCAATTAGCTTTGGTTGAAGTAGTGAAACTACTAAAGGTAAGGTTGATTGTAAGCGACGTCCCATCAACAATTCAGCTGGAATGTAGCCATTCTTTAAAGGTGTCGTCCGATAACTCAATAAAGCCAAGTAAGGATTTTTAGACTTTTTGAATCTTAATTTAATTATCTCCACTGCTGCTTCAACAAAACCGTTGCTTTGAGGATATCTCGGACTTGAAGTAATGTGCTTAAAACCGTATACTTTTGCAAAGTTTTGAAACTCAGCTGTTCTAGTAACTTCAAACTGTGGTCCACTATCTGGCAAAAATCGATTTGCAGTGTAAAATTACTTCTTTTGATGTTAAACTATCCAGTTTTGCCACTTCTGGGTAACGTGAGTAAAAATTTGTAACTAATAAATACCATTCTGTGTGGAGTTTAAATAAGTCCATAGCTACAATTTTCCATGGTCTCTGAGGAAAACTAGTTGGTTTCAAAGGTTCAGAACACTTTTTAGCTTCCTGTATACATGAAGGACAGTCCCGAACTAATTCCTCTATTTGTTTACTGATGCCAGGCCAGTAGACTACTGAATTCGCTAAAGCTCGACATTTATTAATTCCCATATGCCCTTCATGGATTTTGCCTAATATTTCTCGTTGTAGCCTATTTGGCACGATTATTCTGTTTCTTCTCATTAATAAACCATTCTATATGGAGATTTCATATCTTAGAGGCCAAAATTGTAAGCAGGATGGTAATATCTGGTTTTCTCCGGCCAACCGTGAGAAGCGTAATTGATCACCATATTACATGTTGGAGTCAGTCTCTTGTTCTAGTTTTATCTGGGAAAGTCTCTCTGAAGACATCGGAACAGATTCTAAGACTTGATTGATAAAAGCTTCAACTTCCTCTTCCAATTCCAGATTTGGAGCTTCTTGTTGATGTGATGCTCTAGATCAGGGGTCGCCAAACTTTTCTGATCATCGACCCCTATATAATTTTTCAAAATCTCCATCGACCCCCACAAAAGTAATTTTCTGTTAANATGTTGAGTCAGTCTCTTGTTCTAGTTTTATCTGGGAAAGTCTCTCTGAAGACATCGGAACAGATTCTAAGACTTGATTGATAAAAGCTTCAACTTCCTCTTCCAATTCCAGATTTGGAGCTTCTTGTTGATTTGATGCTCTAGATAGTGCATCTGCTACACAATTTTTTTTTCCAGGAGTGTGTAAAACATCAAAAGAATATCTCATGAGCCTCATTTTGAGACGTTCTAGGCGAGATGTTAAATCATCCAAAGATTTTCTAGTAAGTATTAGGACAAGAGGTTTATGATCCGTCTCCAAAAGAAACTTGGTACCCATTAGATAATCGAAATTTTTTTCGCATGCTTGGGAACTAAACACTGGGGGTTCCGCGTTCGGCTGACCACCTGACCGGAACATCTGCTCCTGCACCTCAGAGCCAAAGGTCGAGAGAACTCAGATATGAACAGTAGGCCCTGGCCCTGTATGGGCTGTCGCGCCACTGAGTTTAGCTTAGAGATATTTTTTCATCAACTTAAGGAACGTCTTTTACACGTCAAGTTATCGACCTCAAGCGTATTTTTCAATCGTTGGATAGATTTTTTTTGAACGTGAGGTATTCGATGTTCTACTTTAGACTATTATTTTTCAACCTCAAGAGTAGATTTATATAGTTGTTGAGATATTTATTTATTTATTTACCTAAGATGTGCCATTTTACACTTCCGGTTATTATAAATCAAAATCAAGTGTAATTTTCGACACTGAGGAAGGCTATTTTTTATGAATGTGAGGTATTCCATGTTCTATCTTAGGTTATTATTTCTTTACTTCAGGAAGATAGTTTTGCATTTTTAGCTTTATTAAATAGGGCCTAATTGAAACAAAAAATTAAGCTATGAACTAAAATGCAAAAGTAATAAAACAAAAATGTTCTTATTCGTTACTGTAAAAAATAACCAACCTGTAATTGACACCAATGATTCTTAGTTTAGGTAATAGGCATTATGGTAATGGGTGGCAGTTTTACTAGGTAATAAATATACTCTTATATATATATACAACGCAGTTTATAAGTAAATTTGGTGCTGATTACACCTGCACCAATACTGAACGTTTTTATGATACAATTATTATGTAGATAGATAAGTCGAGGAGAAAGTAACTTGACTGTGAAAAGTTCAAATATCATAAGTTGAGACCGAGATAGCCTAGTGGGTAGGGCGCTGATCCCATGTCCAAGATTTCGTGGGTTCGATCCCAGGTCGGCCGAAGACTCCCCGTGTAGTAAATGGTGACTGATGCACGTTAAATCTGTCGAGTGGCAAAGTCCTCCATGTTCCCATCCCAAATCAATACCTCTGGGGGTACTGATCCAGGAGTTTTCTTGTCTTCTGGATGATTGGTTCAAAATGACAAGGCTACGGAGTTAAACATTAGCAGTCGTATACCCAAAATTGGGTCGGCTGTTCAATGACCGATATTAAAGATCATAAGTTTCCTCGAGCAACAGCATTATTCCAAATAAAACGGATTACAGTTCCTCTTTATTTCAGTAGGATGAACTACTAAAAATGTGTTTTGCTTAATCTAATAAAGGGAAGCCATCGGTTAAGAGAACAAATAATCTATACAGGCAATAAAATAAAGAATTTGAATTACAACTATAAAATGTTTCGAATTTGCTGGAAACATCTGCCGAGTTGACCAATCCTTCTTAATGTTCAAAAATAGGATCCCGAGCAAGCCCAGAGAATAGCATGGGTTGACTGCACTAATGAAGATTTCAAAGCAATTGAAAGAATCTAATACCTTGGCGAGGAAGAGTAGAATCTAAAAACATACGAAAGTCCTTGGCCCACGAACGGCTGTGGAGTCTATCGCTTATGCGTTCTGATGAGGCTTTACTTGGTCTGGAATTACCCTAAATTTAATTTCACACTTCTCACTATTAAATGGAGTTTTTCAAGAAAGCTTATTTTTAATTAACAAATTTTTGTTAGTGAGTCAATTTTATGAGATTAAATTTTTTAGTGTTAACCTATTTTAAGTCACCAGAATTCGATTCTATGATAAAAAGAAATAAATGAACCTAACTCTTAGTGAAGCAGGTATAAACTAATTTGTTATTTTACAATGTATGGAAACCCTAATTGTCAAGGTAAGAAAACTCTGTGTAAAAATATGTAGTTAAATTTAAAACTTGTTATATTTAAGTTTTTAACAGAATATTGGAAGACTAAAATTATTAAATCGTAAATTATTCAATTATTCTTGTAACGAAACTATTCAAAGTCATTTAAATTGTTCAACTTTATTTTAAATCTATTTCTGATGGATTTTTTATCTTCAGTAGATTTTAAGATCTTATTTCAATATCTTTCAAATTAGCAGATAATTCAAATTGTTTAGGATTATTTTTAAATATTTAGTTTCCTCTGTTCATTTCTAAATTAAAACTCAACTGGAACTCTTTATTTTTGTTTGCATTCTTTTGACATTTCTTAAAGTTAACTCTAAGAAATCTTCTGTAATTGTCAAAAGCATTCCAATTTGAATGAAAATTAAGGCTCAAAATAAAAATTAATAATGTATAAAAATGCAAATATAGCGTTTTCTCACTGTACAACAGTGTTTCCCAAAGTGTGGTAAGCGTACCCCAGGGGTACGTGAACAGTTTAGCGGGGGTACGCGTTCTTATGTGAAATATCTTGCAACAAACGAATATTTCACAAAATTTTATCTAAAAACAAAGCTAACCATGAAAATTTACAATAACGTATTTTTCTATTGGCTATTTTTTGCAGAGTTAACAGTTAATAATTAGGGGTGTCAACAGTCAGTTGTGATTTTTAACTTTTGAGCATTTTTTTATTGTAAAAATTACATTCATTTTTTTAGTGGTACACAGCGTTACGAAAAATTTAGAAGGGGTACACAGAAGACATAAGTTTAGGAAACACTGCTGTACAATAATATATACGTATTATGATAACAATAAAAAGTACTTAAATCTGGTATAAAATTCAAACTTTTAAAATTAATTGAGTATTTTTTTTCGAAGCTGGTTTTTTTCTACGTTATTGGTTCAGATTGTTTAATTTCTCCTTTAGTTTTTGTGCATAGATACTGCTCGTGTGTCTTGCATTTTTCGGAATTGACTGTCTTCCCGATGTGCTGCTGATGGACACGTTTTGGGAAACAGTATAAGCTTCGAATAAAAAATCAGAAGAATCTAGGAAAAGCTGCACCATCTTAAGACCTGAATGACTTCTTCCCTCAAAAAAACTTTATTCCTTGCTAGTCTAGCAGGTGAGACGATAACCTTTATTTTTCACTCTTATCCTAAGTCCACTCTATTTAAACCAAAAATCTTATTTTGCACAAATTGAATATTGATAATTTCCAGATTCATGGGTTTGTGATATCCAGATGAAAGAGCTTCTCGAAGTTGTTCTGCAATCTTTATCAAATGGGGAAAGAACAGATTCGCTGTTGCCCTCCCAATGAGGAGGCTCAAGTTCGAATCGCCAGAATCTGCTGCTTTAGACACATACTTTTTACTCGCACAGACCACAGTGCTGTAGTGGTAGACAGATAGTGAGTTGAAATCCCCATACCGTCGGGCTAACCGTGGGAGGTCTTTCATGGTTTTCCTCTCCATGTAACGCAAATGCGGGATAGTTGCAACAAAGTCTTCCATGAAGGCTAGTTTGATCCAGGTGTTCCCGTGTCTTCTGGTTTCGTTTCAAATGTCTTGCGTTTGAGTTTTGGAGAATAGATTTACTTGGTTCTTTGCTCCAAACCCTGCAGAATTCTTGTAGCTTATTTATTTACACAATGTTATACTCTACGGTCGTATTAAGTGTATACTTAGTTGTTATACTGACTTTCATTTGTTGTTGAAGGATAACGTGTAATAAAAGATAATGATAGAACAAATATTTTTTAAAGAAAACTATTAAACATATTGTGTAAAATATTAACTAATTTTTGTATTTCCAGAGCCCATATACTTAAATGAAAAGTGTTCACAGTACCTGTATTTTACTGTTAGAAAGCTTTTATGGCTAAGAGCAGACAAGCGATCGCAGAGTGAGGTTATATGAAGTGTGGCAATTGGTCTGGCATTTAAGAATATTAGTTAGAAAATTAGAATTCTAGAAAATTAGTTAAACTAGTTATGTAAACATATTCGTGACAAATTGATACGAGCAGTGATTAATTTTCTATTAATATTGGTTAGAAATTTCTTAGATACCTTAAAGTCTTGAAAAACAAATTAAGCCTTTTGTAGGGAAATTTCTAAAAATTGAATTTGTCATTTCGAGAAGGGGTGAGCTTCACTTTGGATCCATTGGAGAAAACCCCTTTTCAAAATTATTTAATTAAATTTTTAAGTTTGTCTGGAAAATTTTTAAAGTGTTATTTAATGTTCAGTAACTTTGATCAAAATCCCCTTTTATTTACGCTATCAAGCAGATTTAAAATTTCATGGAAAAATTTCCAGTATTTCATAAATACATTCTACTTTTGTTAGGCTTAAATTCATGAAATAAAATGTAATTTCAGATTGTTGAAATTAGTTTAATTGTAGA